CTGTATCTGCACACAGTAATGGAAGAAGTTGCCTGTTACTTCCCAAGACTCTTTCCTCCACACTTGCTGTTAGGCAGAAATTATTAACATTCCCAGGCTTCAACAGACAAGAGAAGTGGATCGCCAACAGATCCAGGAACAGGGCAGGAGGCGGCGCTAACTCCTTCCCCATCAAACTGGTGCCAGTAGGTTTATTGGACAACATAGTGTTCTGTGCTGTTTCTAAACAAGAAAGGCGCATTTTCTACTCATTTTGGTGTGTACATAAAGTACAAAGTGGTGGAAATAAAAAACAAATCTCTTAAGAGAGTGGAGTACAAACAGCAATCATTTTTTCTAGCTTCACAAAAATTGTCTGTAAGACACTAGGGCTGCAATCCGACACCCACTTATCTAGGAAAAAGCCCCAGAGCCATGGACGCCATTCTAGAGTTTTCTGAAGCATCCAGAAAGCAAGTGTTGGAAGTTAGATATTGTTTGGGGGGGGGGGAGGAAAAGATCAAAAATGGTCCATTAAAGAGAAGCCAATTCATTATTTCTTCCTTCACAAACAAAGAAAACAAGGAAAAGTGTTCTCAAGAGAAACTGTATGCCTTTCTTTAAGAGGGTGCACTTTAGATCAAGGATAGACTAAAATCTGTATGAAGTTGGAGTTACTAAGGTAACGATGCATTTTTATGAATACCAAAGCAAACAGATGAATAAACCTTGGGTCAATCATTAATTCATATTACTATTTTTTAAACTTTGCTGGAGTGATTTAGGTACCATACTTCCTCTTTATTTGATATTACATATGGTATTATTTGATTTAAAAGCAAACACTTAACACTGCCTTTAAATAAACACTGTTCCCTTTCTTCCCATATTACACTTCTTTTGAAATGTTAAGTTACTGATCATTTTGTGTTTTAAGCTACAAAAACGGTTTCTGATTCAATAAGGTAAAGAATTGATGATTGAGACGAGGGTTGAAAATGCTAAGCTTTTACCAAAAAAGAAAAGAAAAAGAAAAAAGGCAGTGTATTAAGCACCAGGTCAAAGTAAAAGATTTGGGTAGATAATAATGAAATAGAAAATGCAGAGAATTTGCATTCTTCTGACATTAAATGTGGTTATTAGATCTTTAAAAGCATAATGTGTACTTGGAAAGAAGTTCTTAAGGCTACTATGTTAAGCACATACTTACTGGAGAGTAAGCCCTGTTCAACTCAATAAGACTTACTTCTCAGCAAGTTCATATAGGATTGCACTGCATACAACCCTCTCTTGATTTCTAAATACTGTTGGTAAATAACAGATAACTTGAATCTTAACAATTTGTATGTGGTGCATGTTGAAGATCAAAGATATATTCACATGGACCATGACTGTCTTTTGTTAGAGCTGTTAGAATCATTTGTGAATGAGGTGAAGCAGGAAATGTACTAAAGTTACTATGAGAGCGCCATCAAATAGTGGAAAATACAACTTCTTCCTTTTGAGTTTATTCCACCAAATCCTTTGTTGTTTTGTCTCTACTTATTCACGTATTAGCTATGTCTAGTGACTTATTTAAAAGTTCCATAACACCATTTCAGTAAACAGCAAGGCAATACAAACTCTCAACTTTATCATGAACAGTCTTAACTATAAGAACCATTTCCCTACAACTCTGCCAGGATAACTCAGTTGGTTAGAGTGTGGTGCTGATAACCCCAAGGTTGCAGGTTTGATCCTGTCTGGGACAGCTGTATAGCCCTGCTTTGCAGGGGGTTGGACTAGATGATCCTCAGGGTCCCTTCCAACTCTACAATTCTATGATTCTAGATCATTCACAAGAAACACTGATCAAGATCAACCTGGAAGTTGGAGGTGTTGTTGATATGCTGATGACACCCAACTCTTATCCCTTTCATTAAATTCAGGTGAAGTTATTGACATGGTATTGGTAATGGACTAAATGCATCTGAAATCTGACTGTTGGCGGGTGGTTTGTCTGTCCTGCTTAAGATATAAAAGACAACAGAGCCTTAAAAAATAGCGGGATGAGGACAATCATGTAAAAATAAAACAGCTCTATGAAGAAAAGACCTAAAGAGACCTTGGTATCCCCAGTCCTAGTCTAATGCTAATTACTAATACCACACTGGCAGCATTAGCCACTAAAAGCTGGCAGCTGGCAGTCCAGAACAAACCAAATGTTTTTTTCCCTGAGGTGAGCATTTCACAACCAGGGTACTGGGTCACTAGCCAGCTGATTTTAGAAGATTGGAGAACTCAGCATCTGAGAAGGTCTGAACCTCCTCAGCAACAAAGAGTTACTGCTACAACCAAGGAGACCTGCTGCCTGGCCACTATGTGCTCCTCCTCGGGTGGCAGGAGGGCCCAAAGAGGAAAACCTCAACAATCAGACAGGTTTGTGGGGGCAAGTCCTAAACTGTACAGGGTTTTATGGTTAAAAATAGCACTTGAACTGTGCCCAGAAATAGATGGGAAGATGTTTTAACATTGCTGGGATGTGCTCTGACCAATTCACATGGAGAGAGAGTCCATGTTTCAGAGGGGATCATTCTGACCTCCCTCATGTAAAAGCTCCACAATCCTACAGGATATATTTGCCAGTTCCCTGAACAGATTCTTTCAATGAGTAATTAGCTTCAAGCAGCATGAATGGGCTAGTTTTCTATCAAGAGAGTAAATTTTAGCTGACAAATTAGACAGATTCCCTAAGGCAACAGCTATGCAGCTTTGCCATCTGCACTTAAAAACATGATTTATAATGGAGTCCTGTTTTCTGGGCACTCCTTTCTTCAGGAATGAAGCCTACACTGCATCTTAGATTTCTAGGTAGGGTGATCATATAATCCTACATTTTCCATTTTCTTTGGTTTACGCCAGGAGCCAGCAAACTTTTTCAGCAGGGGGCCAGTCCACTGTCCCTCAGACCTTGTGGGGGGACGGACTATATTTTGAAAAAAAAGAAATAAAGAGTGAATTCCTGTGCCCCACAAATAACCCAGAGATGAATTTTAAATAAAAGCACACATTCTACTCATGTAAAAACATGCTGATTCCCAGACCGTCCATGGGCCAGATTTAGAAGGTGATTGGGCCAGATCTGTCCCCCAGGCCTTAGTTTGCCTACTCATGGTTAACACAAAATATAATGCCCACGTTACCCAATTTAACATGCTCTTTTAAAATCCATCAGCAGATTCTTGGGGGGGGGGCATTCCCCCTGCTGATATTTCCTGCTTGTGCATGGATGGTATGGTTTTGGACACAGGAATGTGTCCAACAGAGGGATCACTCAGTTGGCAGAGCATGAGACTCTTAATCTCAGGGTTGTGGGTTTGAGCCCCATGTTGGGTGAAAGATTCCTGCATCGCAGGAGGTTGGACTAGATGATCCTGAGGGTCCCTTCCAACTCTATGATTCTATGTGGAGCCTTGGATATTCCTCTTACCATATATGATGATGAGAAACAGGGTTGGGGGCAAACCTGACTGGAGCTGATGGATGTCCACAACATCTGGAGGGCTCTGAAGGTGAGGCTGATAGATATGGGAGTGAAGCTCGCATTCAAAAATGCCTGCCTCCCACTCTCCCCCTCCCACCCCATTGCGATCTTGTATCCTAGAAAAGCAGCCTAGCCTACTTTCTTCTCCCTGTCTCCTTTGCTCAGCACCCTTTCCCTCACTTGCCTGGCATCTAGTTCTGTGTACAACCTTCATTTACTAAAAGAGCAAGATTGTCCTTTTAATTATCTTCTGCATCCCACTCATGATCTGATCCAGATAGTAACCACAGTCCACAATTTTTCTCCCCTTATTTCCCACTGCAGAGAAACCGCACATCCTACATCCACGCAGCAGCAATCCCATTCTTTTCATACTCACAACACATCAAATCCCACAATAACTCTGTGTCTCACGGCAACTCCTCTTTTTAAAGCCATGCCACAAAAAGAACTGTTTGTGTGTGTTTTGGTAAGAGTGCACTGGGAAGGAGGAATGGGGCTGCTGTCAACTTCTGGGCGTGATCCACTATAAAGTACAGATGGACTAGTTTTCAAATACATTTTATTGTGTAGACGGTTCCCTAATGGAAGTGAAACCCTATCTCCATTGTGAAGATGTACTCTTGCATCAAGCTGGCATGTATGGGGATTAAATGCAGCAAAGTCCCATCCTGGGCCAATGTTTGATCCTTATCGGTCTTTGACAGCAACATGAGCTTTTGGTCTTGTTTACACCTTGGCAACACCTGAATGTCTTCTTGTGTTAATAAAATATGACTGAATTTAATTTTATGGAACAAGTGGGGAGGGCATTTACGATGTGGAAGGGTTTGAGGGAAAGAAGATGGAAAAAGAGCAGGGCGAGGCATGCATATGTGAAAATCCAGTGATGAAGTCATCATGGATTCAAGTTGAAGCAGCAAAGTTATTTTCAGCTTGGGTGCGGGAGCGGCAGCAGTTGTGAAATGTGTAGAATGTAACACACTAGAGAGGTGTGGGTGGGCAGAGCTATGCATAAGAATTGGCAGTACAACCTCATAGCTGTACATGGGGAACTGCCTTATAGTGAGCCACACCACTGCTCCCCCGGCCCAAGATGGTCCCTGACACTCACCTTTTCCAGCCCTGCTACCCGAAACCATTTTGCCTGGGATGGAACTTGGCACCTTCCTCATCACAAGTATGTTCTCTGCCATGAAGCTATGCTCCTCTAGGCTGCCCTGTAAGGTAGCGGCTACAAAACCCACAAAGCTCCACACATCTAAAAGGCCAGGGTGGGAGCACAAAGCTCCTCCTGCCATTAGCAGTCCTCACACATCAGGATGATGTATTTCCAGTAATTAAGAAGGCTTAATAGTAAAACACTTTTGGACAAATGCCATATTGACATACTTAGCAAATTTAAGGCTACACCAGTTTTCAAACAGAAAAGAAACAAGTGGCAAACTCACACAGCTGCCATGGGCAGCAGAATCCCATGGGGCAGCATGGGCCTGCTGGCATTGTGTGGCTGTGGTTTCACGTGAGACCTTGTGAGAGCTCTGAGATCTCACTGGAAGTCACCACTGCTGCAAGACCCAGGTAGGCAAGGTTTGGGAGGGGGGCACACTCCCATTTTGTCTCATGCTGCCCCTGACAAGTGGGGCCCTGCAACAAAAAGCTGTAGCGTGGAGGCTCCCAGCCACTCTTCCAATTCAGCTTCTCCCTGGATTTTTGCCCTTTCAAGCCAGTATTTCATGATGACGATGCTCAGTCTTTAATGGACTCTTTTATGCGGTCTAAAAAAGAGGGTGGGGTAGGGTGGGCACATTTGTGCTCAAGGGTGTTTTAAGAGTGCACAATGAACACTTGTGCTTGAATTGTTTAATTTATCCATTGATGTTCATGGGCAGCCTGGCCTTCCATCCCTCAGTTTCTCAGTGTGAACCACAGTCACCTATGCAGAAGGAGATGGTTCTTTCAAGGTATGCACGTCCTTCTCTTTGGCCTCTGCATTCAAGCCCATCCTCTACCTATTGGTAGTGTCCTCCCCCCACCTGTAGCCAATACTGTGCTCCATTACCCTGAGTTGATAGAGGGATCTTACAAGGGGTTTCAACCCCATGGCAGCTGGCTTCAAAATATATTCTTTTGTGCACCTACAAGCCTTAGATTTCGGCAAGACAGCCGCAGCCCATAGTGGTGGTGAAGCTCCCTGAGCATAGGAAGAATCTGATCGATATTAGTATTTATGATATCTTACAGTAAATAGTTTTCATAGTTGGTGGAAATACATGTGCAAATTAAAATAAACACACGCTGTCATAGGAGAGCAGCCACAGAAGGAAATATAAACTGGTTACATGTAAAAACACAGAATACATTTTTAAAACCTTCTTGGCGTTCAAACTCTTGAATTCCTGTTTTTCCTCAGGAGCAGCTATGGAAGAAGTGCTGACTTTGAAGGGAACTCGTCTTCTTCCATTGCCAGCCAAGTGGGGAGCTGGGCTCCCTCCTGCTGCCCCTTCGGGAGAGTCTCCCGCGCAGGAGCTGCGCCGCTTCTCCCGGGGGGGGGGTCCCCGCTGGATGCAGCGTGACAGGATCAGTAACGGGGGGGCAGCCTCACACAAAATAAGCCTGGGGCGCGAGGGGGATAAGAAGCCGCGCCGCTGCGAGCGAGGCCACGAGGCCCCCGCCCCCGCGAGAAGCAGGCAGGAAAGGGCGGGGATTGCCGCCTGGCGAGGCCGCGGAGGGCGAGCGGCTGAGGCCCAGGCCTGCCCGGAGCGGCGGCTGCGGGGCGGAGCGAGGCCTCGGGCCGGGCGGCCATGGCGTCTTCGGAGGCGCCGCTCGGGGAAGAAGCAGCAGCAGCGGCGGCGGCGCTGCTGGCCGGCCTGGCCGCGCGGCTGACGGGGAGCGCCGAGGAGCAGGAGGAGCGGGAGGAGCAGGCCGCGGCGGCGGCGCCCGGTCGCCTGGCAACCCTCGGGCAGCTCGCGGCCCTCCTTCGTGACCCGGCGGGCAGGTGAGGGCCGCGGGGGGGGGGGCTGGGGCCGGGCTCCGTCACGTGTGGACGCGCTGCCGCGTGTCTTCCTGCCGCGGCGGGGGTGGTTTTGCAGGCGGGGGGGGGGCGGCTCGCTTCCTCCTCCTCTAATTCCTCAGGACGATTTTGTAAGGACGCCTCCAGGAATTTCAAGTCCCCCATTTCTCCCTGCAGTTGCGCTTATATCTCTGTCTGCCTAGAAATGCAAGGCGTCAAAAGTTCCTGCTGCTTCTCCTCGCTTGGCTGGATGCTGTGGCTTTTTGTAGGCAGAAGTTGCTTGGTGGGGTATAAATACTACTGCTACTAATAACAACAGTAGCACTAATATGATTAGTTATACCCCACCCATCTGGCTGCATTCAGCACGTATGAAAACATAATAAAACGTCAAACATTAATAATAACAATCAGATCCAATACAGAAAAGTCACAATAATTTTAAAATAAGTAACTTATATCAAATAAAGCAATATTCAATAATCGATTAGAATATAATGACAATATTAAAACTAAATATCACATAATAATAATAATAATAATAATAATAATAATAATTTAGTATTTATACCCTGCGCATCTGGCTGAGTATCCCCAGCCACTCTGGGCGGCTTCCAATCAAGTGTTAAAAACAATACAGCATTAAATATTGAAAACTTCCCTAAACAGGGCTGCCTTCAGATGTCTTTGAAAGATAGGATAGCTGCTTATTTCCTTCACATCTGAAGGGAGGGTGTTCCACAGGGCGGGTGCCACTACCGAGAAGGCCCTCTGTCTGGTTCCCTGTAACCTCACTTCTTGCAGGGAGGGAACCGCCAGAAGGCCCTCGGAGCTGGAACTCAGTGTCCGGGCTGAACAATGGGGGTGGAGACGCTCCTTCAGATATATAGGAGGGAGGCCATTTAGGGCTTTAAAGGTCAGCACCAACACTTTGAATTGTGCTCGGAAACGTACTGGGAGCCAATGTAGGTCTTTCAAGTGTTACCGTATTTTTCGCCCTATAGGACGCACTTTTTCCCCTCCAAAAATGAAGGGGAAATGTGTGTGCGTCCTGTGGGGCGAATGCAGGCTTTCGCTGAAGCCTGGAGAGCGAGAGGGGTCGGTGCGCACCGACCCTTCTCGCTCTCCAGGCTTCAGGAAGCTATCCGCAAGCCGTGGGAGCCTGCGGGAGTTCCCCCCGGCTCCCACCCTTGCGCAGCGCTGCCTGCACCCCAAAGCCCCGGCGCGCTGAGCAGTCGTGCCAGGGCTTCGGGTAGCTCTGCGCAAGCCGCGGGAGCCTTCCCCCGGCTTGCGCAGCGCTGCCTCTTATCCGGAAGCTACCCGAAGCGACTGCTCAGCGTGCCGGGGCTTCGGGATAAGAGGCAGCGCTGCGCAAGCCGGTGGAGCTTTGGCTAGCTCTGCGCAAGCCGCGGGAGGGCTCCCACGGCTTGTGGAGAGCAGCCTGTTCTGGGGGCTGGGGTCGGGGGAAGCTCGGGCTTCCCCCGCCCCAGCCTAGCGCCTTGGGGGGGGGGGAATAATTTTTTTTCTTTATTTCCCCCCGAAAAAACTAGGTGCGTCTTATGGGGCGAAAAATACGGTATATGGTTTTGGTGGCCGCTCCCAGTCACCAGTCTACCTGCCGCATTCTGGATTAACTGCAGTTTCCGGGTCACCTTCAAAGGTAGCCCCACATAGAGCACATTGCAGTAGTCCAAGCTGGAGATAACTAACTAGAGCATGCACTACTCTGGCGAGACAGGTAGGGTCTCAGCCTGCGTACCAGATGGAGCTGGTAGACAGCCGCCCTGGACACAGAACTGACCTGCCCTCCATGGACAGCTGTGAGTCCAGAATGACTCCCCGGCGGCGCACCTGGTCCTTCAGGGGCACAGCTACCCCATTTAGGACCAGGGAGTCCCCCACACCCACCCGCCCCCTGTCCCCCCAAAACAGTACTTCTGTCTTGTCAGGATTCAACCTCAATCTGTTAGCCGCCATCCATCCTCCAACCGCCTCCAGACACTCACACAGGACCGTCACCGCCTTCACTGGTTTTGATTTGAAAGAGAGGTAGAGCTGGGTATCATCCGCATACTGATGAACACCCAGCCCAAAGCCCCTGATGATCTCTCCCAGCGGCTGCATGTAGATGTTGAAAAGCATGGGGAAGAGGACAGAACCGTGAAGCACCCCACAAGTGAGAGTCCAGGGATCTGAACGCTCATCCCCGACCACCACTTTCTGAACACGGCCCAGGAGAAAGGAGTGGAACCACTGTATAACAGTGCCCCCAGCTCCCAGCCCCTCTAGATGGTCCAGAAGGATGTTTTGGTCGATGGTATCAAACGCCGCTGAGAGACCTAGCAGAACTAGGAAACAGCTCTCACCTTTGTCCCTAGCCTGCCGGAGATCATCGACCAGTGAGACCAAGGCAGTTTCAGTCCCATGATGAGGCCTGAATCCCGACGGAAAGGGATCCAAATGGTCCACTTCTTCCAGGCGTGCCTGGAGTTGTTCAGCAACCACTCGCTTTATTATATGATGATGATGATGATGATGTAATAATAATAAAGCTACAAATCTTATGTAGAAGATGCTGCTTTTCAGCATCTTGCAGGTTCCGTGTACATTCCTCACCCTAGTTCAGACAGTTTAAGAAGAAGCATACTAAGAACCAGTTCTTTGACTCCAAGAGGAGCTTTTTCTTTTTTTGATAACATAGTTTCTATTCATTCTCATATTTAAAGCGTTTAACATTAAAGTGTATGACATGCAACATTTACATAAAATTAAAAATAAAGCAGCAAGAAACACGGAGTTAAATGTTTCTGAGTGTATTAGCAAAATTGTGTCAAAGTGTATCTATCAAAATTATTACAATTAATACGGATTATGAAATGATGCGTAGTAACATGTAATGACCATAACTAACATGTATTTTGTATTAATAACAATTAGAATTTATAGGAAGGGGCGAGGGAGAGGAGCAGGGGGGAAAATAAAATACGTAGTAATAAAACTGCTAGCCCATTTGCACATGCCTGCCCAGGTCTTTGGATACTAGGAGCCATGGAAGTGTCCTTACACTGAGGCCGACTGGCTACACGGACCGGCAGTGGCTCTGCCAGCCCTGTCTGGAGGCTGAACCTGGGACCTTCTGCCCCTGGGCTGTGCCATGCAAGGAGGTGTGTCTGCAGTTCCACTTTAGGAAAAGAAGCCTGTGGGAAATACTGAAATACACATCAGTCCAGGCTTAATCTTTTAAAATTTCACATCTTGTCTTCATTCCGTGGCACCACAGGAAGGAATGTAGCTCAGTGATAGAGCCAGTTTTGCATGCAAAAAATTCCTAGGTTCAATCCTGTTGTCTTCAGGTAGCGCTAAGAAAAATTCCTCTCTGAAACGTTGGAGAGTTTCTGTCTTCACTGTGGGTAATCCTGAGCTAGCTGGATCAGTGGTCTGAAGTCAGCTCCTTATATTCCAGTTCAGGCATCCATCATACCAGAGCTGCTGCGTTTCAGCAAGATGGTTTCATCATATTCTGAAGGCAAGCGATGCAGCCACCTTGGTGAAGCTAAGCAGCTCTGGGTATAGTCAAAGCCTGATGGGATACTGCCTAGAAGCTCTACTTAACTTGAAAAGTGGGTGTAATAAACAGACAGAATAATTCACCTTTTGACTTGCCTTGGGAACTTAAGTTCAGAATTTAGAAAAACTCCAATTTTTATGAATTCTCTTCACAATTTTATGAAGCTTGTAGAGGCTGGAGAAAATACATGAGTTTGTGGTTACCTATAGTAAATATTTCAAAGCCAGGGCAACCCTTTATTTGCTATATTTTTTCTATCCTTGTCAAGTACAAAATATGCAAAACAGCTTGGATTAGCTTTTTAAAAAAATATTGCATGGTACAAATGATATCCTTCTTTTATGTATATTTTTTTTAATGTACTGTTGATGATGTCTACTTTATATTTATTTTTCTTTTTAGGGAAAAAGCATCAGAAAGCCTATTCCAAGATCTCCTGCAAATTTTGAGGAAGGCATCTTATGAAATTGATGTAACCTACAAGCAAAATAATACACTGGAACACACAGATTCATTGTTCCTGTTGGTATCAGAATGTTTCAGATGCCTTCGGAATGCTTGTGTTCAGTGTACCAAGAATCAGAATGTTATGAGGTATGATTATTGCCCCCGTACTTGCATAGTTTTTTAAATGTTAAATTACAGTAACTTGTTTCACCCAACTGAGTTCATAGCTGATTTAACTTTTGAATCAGGCTCATACATTTCACTCCTCACTAGTTCACTTCACTTTGCTGTGCACTCTTGGCATTTGAGTGGAAACCTTGTGAGTGAATTGCCCACATTTGTTAAATTGTGTGGCTCAGGCTAACTGACCAGTGTGTAATCATTATATATCTACATATTCTCTGAAAGTAAATTAATCTGCAAGAGAATCAAGGGTGCATGAACACAAGATTTATTCTGACAACTTTTTTTCTTTTGCTCTTTTTAAAATACTCGTGAAGTGAGATTTCATAGACATTATCTTCACCAAGTCTTGTGATTATTTAAGAGCTGATTTTTTTTTGTTAGTCTTGCATCTGGATTACTTAATATTTGTTGGCTGCAAGGATGTGCATTTTATTTGCCCCTGAGGTCGGGTGAATTCTGGGGTGTTCTTCATGGGATTTAAAGTGCACTGCAGCAGGGAGCGTTGTGTGTCCATGAAGGTTCCCTGCACAGTTGAAAACCTGGATTTTCTAGAATTGTCAGTTGTGCAGGGAGCATTCATGGCTGGACAAGGATCCTCCGTGCAGAAGTGCACTTTAATCATGTGAGGGGTCAGAATGAGTTGTTAGTTATTTTGAATCTTTATGTGAATCTTTATCTCTTGCCAGCTCCTCACCATGAAACCCCCCTCCTGTCTGTTTTCTCTCTTGGTGTGCCTTGCCACCTTAGGACTTTTTAATTTCATTCCTTTTCATAATTGCCCAGTATGACCTCCCTTTCCTAGACTTCTCTGGGCCTGTTGTTTCTTAAGCTACAGTCTGTTCTTTCCTAGTATTTTTAAAACCATCTTCCTTCCCTTGGCTTTTCTTCCTACTCAGTCCCTTTCTGTCACTCTTACCTTACTCAGTCAATTACTCCTAGGGGAGTTAACCACCACAGAATTCATTTATTACATTACAATATGTATTACAAATTTAGTACTTTATATTATGATACAGCTTTGTATAAAACACTGGCTTCTCTGCTTTTTTTTAATTTCAGAGAATTTTAAATTTAAAACTGTTCTTTTATAACAGAAACCTGGGGCTAATTGAGGCATCTGTACACTTGATCCAATTACTTCACAAATTAGAAACTAATCTGGAATCATTATTGACAGGTAAGATATTGCGGGGGCTGCGTACATAAGCCCACAAAGCATGTTTACTTGCCTGTGTACTCACACATACCTAAGAAAGGACAGCACTATTCCAGTTGAACAAAAAGACTTTACATGTCCAGCCTCCATCTTCATGTTGTAGAACTCTTAGAACTGTGGAACTGTCCTGATTTTCCCCCTGATGCTCTGTGGCTTTCTTGTACAGTGGTACCTTGGGTTAAGAACTTAATTCATTCTGGAGGTCCGTTCTCAACCTGAAACTGTTCTTAACCCGAAGCACCACTTTGGCTAATGGGGCCGCCTCCTGCTGCCGCGCTGCCAGAGCACGATTTCTGTTCTCATCCTGAAGCAAAGTTCTTAACCCGAGGTACTATTTCTGGGTTAGCAGAGTCTGTAACCTGAAGCATATGTAACCCGAGGTACCACTGTAACTTGAAGCCATTGGTTTGCATCCTACCCTTTGGAGCAGGAGAAAACAAGCTTGCTCCATCTTTCATGTGACAGCCCTTAAGATATCTGAAGATGGCTATTGTATCTCCTCTCAGTAGCCTCTTTTCCAGGCTAACTATACCGACTCCCTCAAGGCTTGGTTACCAGACCTTTGATTATCTTGGTTGCCCTCCTCTGCACACATTCCAGTTTGCCAATGTCTTTAAATTGTGGTACCCAGAACTGGACACATTATTGCAGGTGTAGTCTGGCCAAGGCAGACTAGATGATACTTTTACTTCCTTCACTCTGGAGCCGTATGCTCTTTATGAGAGAGAGAGTTATTTCTTTATTCTGTTGCAAAGCCAGAACATCTTGCTAGCTAATTGCCGCCGTGGCAGTGTAAGGCCTTGGGGTGCTGTTGCACTCACTCCAAATGCTGTGGGACTGCTAGTTGCTGTCCTCAGCAACTCTGTACAATGAGATCATGCTCTGGGAGTGCCGGCTGACCTCCAGATTAGCATGTTGTGGCACTTATTAGTGCCAGATGTGCTGATGATGGATACTGTTACAGGTCTCTATACCAACAGACTAAAATCAAAAGACTTTTCTTTGAGAGCAGGTGTTCTTTAATTTTGCAAGCTTGAAACTGAGTGGTATAGCTCAGTGTTAGATAATGTGTTCTGCATGCAGGCAACCCCAAGTTCAATCCCAGTCAAAAGGATGGGGTTAAGGGAAGACATCAACTGTCAAGGTCCCTCAAAGTTGGAGAAACTGATTTTGTTGTTGTTGCCATATTTATTATATTAAATGATCATTTTACCCTGTTCAAGGAGGTGCACATCAGCATTCATTAATGAAATATGAAACCTGAGTAAACAGATAAAACAGCAATGGAATTAAATGATAGGTGAAGATAGAATAATTCCAAACTATTTCTCACCAAGAGTTCATGTAATCAAAACAAGGTTTAACTTGATGTGAAAAGACAAGATTAGGTGCCAAGCCAATTCTCTGGAGAGGACACAACCTGGATGTTGACACAGAAAAGGCTTTGTATCTTAGTTATCAGGTTCATACAGAAGAAAGCACCCTGTTTTACTTAAGTGCTTTAGGGCTTTATAGGCCATCACCAGCACTTAAATGAACTTTTCCACGATATTCTAATTTTTCGAGTTTCACCTGTAATTCAAGCATGTCTGAATGTACTCTACCTATATTTAAGTGGCATAATTTGGGACCTGCATTTCTTCTAACCAGGAATAATAATACCTTTATTGTCATTGTACAACTTGTGTACAATGAAATTAAACAAGCCTCCCCCCCAAACACTTAATCTCATTACACTCTCTGTGCTTATCGAACAACGCACCACTTCGCAAGTCAATTGCGCTATGTTATTTTCCGTTCAACAGCCTAACAGCCCACGGATAGAAGCTATTTTTTAGCCTGTTGGTATGGCTGATTATACTTCTATATCTCCTGCCCGAGGGTAGAAGATTAAAGAGGTGCTGGCCGGGGTGTGAGTCATCCCTGATAATTTTTCTCGCTCTCCTAAGGCAACGATTCCTTGCAATGTCATCTAACAGACTCAAGGGACAGCCCATGATATCATGTGCTGTATCCACCACCCTCCGTACAGACTTTCTGTCCGTGTCTGTCAAGCCAGCATACCACACTGTGATACAATATGAAAGGACACTTTCTGTTGTGGACTGGAAAAAGGAGTTCATCAATTGTTGATTAACATTATTCTTTCGCAAGACCCTGAGGAAATGGAGTCTCTGTTGGGAAAGAATACAGTAAGATCTTTTAAGTTAATTATCTTGATGGCTATGTGTTTCTCTCTCATCCAGTAACATCTATTTTAAGTTTTTATTGTGGTGTTCATAATGTGGGTAGGAAAGTCCAGAGTGTCCCAACAGTTTGGAATCGGTAATACACACACTGAAGTGGTATGCCTTATGTGCCTGGCAGATGCTTTTACCACTGCGGCTGACTTGTGGGGAGGAGTTTATTTTTAACGATGTATTAATGAATAAAGCAGCAGAAAAGGAAATACCGCGCAAAGCGCTGTGACTTAAATAACTGCTGTCTAATATCTGGTTAGGTCAAACTGCAATTTGCAATTTGCCATGAGAGCAAGGCATTTTTATATAAGGGAACAGCCAAGTCCCTGCTCTAAAAGTTTTAACCCATTTTGTTTACTGTTCCTGCTTTCATGTTTACTTAGATCTAGCAATCATAATTTAGAAGCTGTTTAATTAACAGCTTCTATATTATGACCAATTTGCATACGACCAATATGCAATTATATATAAAGAAGTTTAAATCACATTTTTTAATATTGTTCTAGAATATTTATTCAGTTAATGGATTGAGTTAGGAGTATTGTTGACTTTGTGAATTGTATTATCATTCTGTACAATTTAAAACCAAACTGTATGTGATGCAAACTGTATCATTACATCCATTAGGCAGGTTTTTTTAAAAAAAGAAAATTGCATCAGCTGAGGAAGAAGCTGGTAATTAATCAGTTTATAGCAAGTATGAAAGGGGAATATAATCATTTTGTACTCTGCTGTATTCCTGAGGAAAATCCCTTTTCTAATACAGTGGTACCTTGGGTTAAGTACTTAATTCGTTCCGGAGGTCCGTTCTTAACCTGAAACTGTTCTTTTTTTATATATATAATTTTTATTTACCGACCAATCAAATCAAATCAAATCACATCACATAAATTCCGAATTACAAAGCCGAATTTTAATTTTTTGTTGAGGGGACCCATATTTCAAGTTCCGAAGGGGAATTCCGATCATCTTCTTGCTGCTGTGTTAATATCCACAAATCTGTCCAAATAATATTCATAATTCTATCCAGTCCTATCTTGCTGTTTCCACATCTCATCTTGTTCATATATTTTTCTTATTTTCTTTATGATCTCTTCTGATAATCTCCTGAAGCAGGTAAACACCAATTATAATTCTGTGTGAATTTTCCGTTCATCCAATCATCATATCAAGATGGTTTCCCTATATCATCACTTTAATAAATAACAGCACTCTTTCCATCATTAGTCTCGCAAATCTGCCGCCTTCTTTTGTCCCTCTGAGGAGGCTCACCCACAATATGAAAACAGATCTGTTCCTCCTCTCAGACATAAGTCTTTCGACAGAACTTGCCAATATGGCGACGCTATTTTTTGCTGCGTCATTCCAAAGCTCTTATGCTTTCCACGATCTTCTTAAAACATGCTTTGGTTAGGAAATTATCTCCACACAGTCTTAAATCCACAGCTTAAGTCATTTAAACGGCATTTCTGACTTGTGTGGGGGGGGGATTCTTGGTTAATCACATAAAGAAAAGAAAGTTCCCCCCCCCATCCAGTCCCGTTGCCGAACAAACCGAGCCTTGGTGTGTCTTCTTATGATTTATTCCTGTTCCTCCGACCCGTCTTGTTTATCAGAGATCTCTTCGGTAAGCAGTCTTTACTCCCCCTTCTTCCTTGAAATATGTGCATTAGCTTCCTCCTAATTGTTTCTTTTGAAGTTGCTGCAGCTAGAGGCGCGGATCAGAGACAGCGTCCAGGAGCGCCGAAGTCCGCACAAGGGCTTTCTGCCTAGTGCCCCCACGCCCTCAAATTCGGGGGTGGTATAGGGCACAGCAGGCAAGGGCAGTCCCCCCCACACCCTTGGGGGGGACGGGAGGCTGTTTACTCCCATCACAGCCTCTTAATTATCTCGTGTGGGTCGGAGAGATGTTATTGTCAGCCATCTTCCGATGCGCCCCTAGTGGCCTAACTGTTCTTAACCTGAAGCACCACTTTAGCTAATGGGACCTCCTGCTGCCACTGCGCCACGGGAGCACGATTTCTGTTCTCATCCTGAAGCAAAGTTCTTAACTCGAGGTACTATTTCTGGGTTAGCGGAGTCTGTAACCTGAAGCCTATGTAATCTGAAGCGTATGTAACCCGAGGTACCACTGTACTAATAAATGTATTGTGAGAAAATCCCCCATGATAAATTTAATTTTTTTGCAATTAACTATTACTCTTTTAATTCTCTTAATTTTTATTTTGAAATTGGGATTTCCTTTTGCAAGTTTCACAATATAGTTAGACTGTAATATTCACAGCAGAGTGAATATTCTATTCCGCACACCCAGAAACCTTTGCATTTGGGATCCTAAGGTGTACTGACCACCCTTCAATAGAAAGGCCTCCCTTGGAAGGTGGTGGACTCTCCTTCTTTGGAGGTTTTTAAACTGAGGTTGGATGACCACCTGTCAGGGATTATTTAGCTGTGATTGCTATATTGCAGGCGGTTGGACTAGATGACCCTTCCAACTCTACAAATCTATTACATATGCCTCTAAGACAGCATTGCTGGCCAAGCTGGTGGAAGTGGTATTGGCGGAACCTAGGACTTTGGTTCTGTGTGACTTCAGTGTCTATGCCAAGGCCTCTTCCATGACAGCTTTGGAGCTATCACAGCTCATCAGTGGCCCAACCCACAGGGCAGGACAGATTTAGCCTGGGTTGTGTGGTCCGACAATAGATGGGATTCAAACAAGCTAGACCACTTCCTGGTGAGGTTTGGTCTCATGGTGATTATCTCCCCATGCAGGGGTTCAGGACCTATTCAGATGGTCCATCCCAGAGACTTATGGAATCTAATGGAGAGAACTGGCAATGGTACTGAGGCCCTTGTCTTCCCCTGTAACAGTGAAATGTGTAGGGCTATCCACACTTTCTCTCCTGAGTGCCCTCTCCTCTGTTGTGGAGCTTGAAACACACCTTGGTGCTCTTGGGAGCTATGAGTTATGAAGCAAGATGGACAATGGCTACAGCGCTCTTGGCACAAAACCCATTGCTTTTTTTTTTTTTTTTTATAATTAATATTTATTAAATTTTCCAAAGGATAACAACGAAAATTTCCAAAAAAAGAAAAAATAAAAAAATTTGAAAATACAAAAAACAAAAATAGTACATACACAAAAAAGAAAAGAAAACCCAGCCGCAGAAAAATAAAAAAGAGAAACTGAAAAAACAAAAATATTAAGTCCTTTACAATCTCTATTGACTTCCTTTCTAGACTTCCTCCTCCTCCCCTCTTTTGTTTCTTAATTTTTAATTTTTACAGCAAATCCTTTCTGTTTTTTCATAACAATCTGCCATTACGTTTCCTTATTCTATTTTCCCTCTTGTCATGTAACTTTAAACCTTTTACAAGTCATTTACCAATCCTTACTTAAGCCATGTAATTTCATTCAACATCCTTCAAACATTTATAAGCATTCCCAATATTAAAAATAAAAAAGAAAGAATAATAAGTCAAATTCAATCCAGTCAACTTCCAACCTCCCCTCCCCTGGACCCGGGATTGTCAGTCCTTTTAGTCTCTTAACCTGGTTGTCTCGTATCCGAGGCCCTCAAGTCTCTGTCTTGCCCCTTTCGCCACTCTTGTTGATGATTCCTTTCCAGTCGTGGATGCTCCAGCAAGAAAATGCTTTTGACCCTTTGCGGCAAGTCCATCCCAAACCCATTGCCCAAGCCAGACAGCAAGTAATACCACTTCAGATTTCCACAAAGCTTGGAGACTTCGGCTACTCCAATCCTCTGATAGCCCATCACCAGACTCGGAAGGTCCAAATAACCATATGGAGGGGGGTCAATCCATCCCCCCATTTCCAAATCTAACCACATTTCATCTTTCCGAATCTGGTTTGTCCCAAGTTCATTTGTCAAGTTCAAAGGCTGATCTTGCCCGTCCAAAGGTCCCTCTATCTCTGAAGCCTCCATCACTACAGCAGGTTCATATACTTGTATAGCCTTTAACTGAATTTCATTTGTTTGCTGCTGTGCTCTGGTGACTTCCATCATCAAGGTCGTCTCACACATCTGGTCCAGCTGGGCACTTAGTTTTGAAAAGCCTTCCATGAACAATTGTTCAAGCCTTTGTACTAGCATTGTTCTTCAAGGTCAAGAAAAATTCTTTCCCACGGCAATAGTCCAATAGTCCTTCTCTTTTAGTCTCTCTGCGTTGCAGTTTCACTGAATTCCACTAGATGGAAATTCTTATTTTTTTTTTTTTTTTAAGGAATAAAAGCAACAGCAACAATCTTTCTTTTTCCAAAAACACTTTATCCAGAATTCCCCCTTCCAAATTCAAGAGGCAACAGTAGAATCAAAATGTTACCCTTCTTTTAACTAACTGTCAAGTTAGATAAACTTCAGAACGTCAATTCTGACAGCCCGCTCCTGGTTCAGGGCGGTGGAAAATTGCTTTATTTTAAACTCACTTCCGCAGGATTAAAGAGTCCAAATACAACCCCCTTCTTCTCCTGCAATCGAAGGGGGGGTTCAGATATCTTAGATGTTGAATTCTAGTTCTCTTAAAATTTAGTTTTCAAGCTTTAATATATTTTATCTTTGCTTTCTTCACATAACAAAAGAACGGAAGGCGACTTCCTGTTTAGACCTTCCGATTCCGAGTCCCAATTAAGTTCAATTTCAAGTCCAATATTATTTGTTTTTTTTTTTCACCAGTCTTAAAATTGGGTCAGCTCTTCCAAGATAAGGTACGCCCGGGTAGATATTTTAGATGCCAAATTGTCCAGGAAAAAGGCAGCGCTCTCCGATAACGGCAGTGCGGCTTTGCTGCACGGAGGAAGCAGACGACTCACAGCACCACGCACCTCCCACTCCGGAGCCCGTTGCCGAGCTCCTGTACAAGGGGAGAGAGCGCTCACGGTGCCCGCTGAGTCCCACGTCCACAGGCTTCTTCCGCCTGTGGTTTTTGCGGGTCCCCGCTGCGCCGTAGCGGCAGGACCCAAGCCTCCGTGCAGCGGGTTCCCTTCAGTCCGAAGGGAATTCCACCATTTTCCGGGGGTGCCACCCCGGAAGTCCGGCACAAAACCCATTGCAAAGGTGACCCAACACACCTTAGAGTACACAATAATGCCTACTATGTTTCAATGAGGGGCAAAAAAGGGCTATTTTGTCTCTGCCATTGCATCCTGAAATAGACATCCAGTAGATGACATATGAGGGACCCGGGTGGCGCTGTGGGTAAAAGCCTCAGCGCCTAGGACTTGCGGAGCGCTGGCGGTTCAATCCCGTGGCTTGGGGCGCGTCGCAGAGTCCCAGCGCTGCCACCTAGCTTCTGGGTGCTGGCAAGAGTCTCCGCTAGCCAGTGGGAGGAGCTGGGTCTCCGCATGGCTAGCGGATGCAGCTTCCTGAAGCCTGGAGACGCGAGAGTGTCGGTGCGCACCGACCCTCGCTCTCCAGGCCTCAGCGAGCTGCATTCGCCCCATAGAGTCTGTCACACACATTTCCCCTTCATTTTTGGAGGGGAAAAAGTGCGTCTTATAGAGCGAAAAATACAGTACATCTCAACCCTTGCCCCTCATAGCTAATTATAGCTTGTTAGGTGTGCTTGTGTGTGTGATTGGTTACGTACTGTATATGTGTAAAAGTTCTGAACCAGTGCCTGGATGCAGTAATGGGCTGGGTGAGGGCTAATAAACTGAAGCTGAATCCCCAAAAGACTCAAACCCTGTTGGTAAGCATCTGGAAACTTGGGTCAAGTACCATCTCTGGATGGGGTTGATCCATCATTGTCATTGGAAAGCCTAGCATCCTCAGTGGCTAGGAATTTCTTTAACCAGCTTTGCCTTGTGTGCCAGCTGCCTTTCCTGGACTGAGATAATCTGGCCATGGAGCTTTCTGCCCTGGTAACCTCAAGGCTAGACTAATGTGCTATATGTAGGGCTGCCCTAGAGATTAATCTGGAAGCTGCACTTGGTGGATGTTAGGTTGCTCTGTGCAATGACTTAGCACCAGCAAGCTACACCATTGTTAAACTTTTGCTCTGGTTGCCAGTAAGCTACTCAGCTAAGTTTAAGGTTATGGTATTGGCATACGGAGCCCCGAACAGCTCAGAACCTGATTATCTGAGATATACCTGATTATAATATAATATAATATAATATAATATAATATACCTGACTGTCTGCTCTGGTCTGCTGTGGGGTTTTTTTAATTAAAAAAATACCATGTGCATCAGTGGGCCAGTTGTTTGTTACTCACCACTGAACACTTAGTTGTGTAGTCCCCTTTCTGTCCCTTAATATTTTAGACAAACACCAAATTGGTATATTCTTGGAAGCTTATTGAACAGATCTTCCCAGACTAAGACTAGACTGTATTTTATCTCCACACAATGTTTATTTAGTTACATAGTTGTGCTTGTGTTTTGCAGCTGTAATTATATTTTACTGTATTTTGTATAGTTGTTGTTTTAAGGGAATCACTTAGATATTTTGGTTTGAAGTGACAAATAAGTAATAGCAGTAATGACTATGATGCTAATCTGTGCTGACTTTTCTTTAATTACATAAGAAAAATAGCTTAAAAGCTACTTATTTACATCTTTGTTTTGTCTTTCTGCACTTCCAGGACAGGGAATTGAGGCCAGTATTTTGCTACTGTGGTTGAAGCAGAAGCTGTAATTACATTGTCAGAATAATATTTATAGCACTGTATTACTTTCTCAAAATAATTGCAGGCATATGACAAATACATTACACTCATCAAAATTTTATGTAAACACATGCACAAGTTTTTATTTGACTTATTGATGGTGTGTGTGAGTTTCATGCCTTGCAATCTGTTGACCAGCCAACCAAACAAGCAAAAAGCAATCTTCGTGGCCTTTTAACTGTCAACACTATAAATATCTGCTGTAAAATAAACCGTCACTTCTACTGTGGGCAATATTTGTTCTGTCATACTTTATGCTATGCAACTTCATGCTTTGAAGTGAGACATTTAATCTTTTTGTTCCTGGGATGTTATTGGATGAATTTGCTCTTGAAACAATTATTAAATTGACAATTTTTTAAATATGAGAGTTGAAAGTGATCTTTAGGGCTCATGGGGTCCTAAAAACTTGGTTGTCTTGTAAGCAAATGAACCAACAACAGCAAGAAGACCTGAAAGCAAAAGCAGGCTTTTGCACAAACGACTCATGGCAGGTGCACGTGGTTCCCACGGAAATGGCTTGATGTGTCTTTTGATGTCGATATAGGTAATTTGCAGCTTTCAGCTGATTTCACGTATGCTAAAATAAATAAGTGGAAAGAGCTTTCTGAACTCTTGCTTACTGGCCTTTGGGAAGACCATGTGAGGGCCCTGCAATGCTCCCAGAGCCCTTTCACATCCTTTCCAGAGATTGATAAGCAGCCCTGTCTGTCTCACTGGGCTTGGGGAGTGTATTCTCAGGTGGAGGCATCATTCTACACAAACCTGGGTGTTGTAGATTTTACCTGTTGGCCTTGAGTGTGAAATTCACTATACAATTCAATTTTTCATTGCAAAATGAATATTTTAGCTGATTTAATTTCTAATTGCCTTATCTTATATAATAAGATGCAACATAAAAAGAGTACTGGTTACATTATAAAACTAATTCAAAATAGCTTTTTAAAAATACATTAGTAGTTTTAAAACAGCTAGTAGGGAGGACCACAAACTTTTTTCCTGTTAAGTAAACACTGCTTTTTTAAAAAAAATTATTCAGAATATTTATATCCCACTTTTTCCGGAATATGGCTAACAATAAAAATGAAATTCATGAACTTAGCAAAAGGACCCCATAGTAATAAGATACATATCCCGCAGGCTGGTAGTTTTTTGGTCCAGCTTGCTGGGGTCTGCACTGTGGCACCCATAGCCATCCTGGCACCTCAGGTGGTCCCCTGGCCCTCCCAATTTTTAAAAAACAAGCTTTGCAGGTTTGCTAATTTGGTCAGGAGTGCCTGTTTTTATTGGGACAGAGAAGGTGATAAATCACCAGTTTTCCTTCTGAAAAATTAGGATGATATGGTGCTCACAACAGTTTCTTTGATTTCCAAATGTGGTCCTGGGCTCAAAAAGATTGGGAACCCTGTTCTAAAATTCTCAATTGTGCTTTCTTCTGTTCAGAGTGCAATACCATAAAATGCAGTATAAGAAATAAAAGAAGCAATAAAGATACGCTAGCTCAGTGGGAGAAGACATGCTGTCCACGCAGAAAGTCCACGTTCAATCCCTGGCACCTCCAGCTGAGAAACAAAATAAACAAGGAGAAAAGAGCGTTCAGGTAGCAGATGATGTGAGACATCCCTGCCTGAGAGTCGGGAGCAGGGGTGCCAACTTGAATAATTTTTTGGGGTGGTAGCCAGGTCAGCCCACTCTTTGAATGGCCATGCCCATCAGCTGGGGGGCAGCACCCTCAAATATTTTTGGGAGGGGCAAATACCCCACGGCCCCTAGGAGTTGGCTCCTTACACCAGAGTAAACAATAAATGGCTCAATGATGATTGACTACGAACTCCTCCTCCGCCTTCCTTCCTGTTGCTTGCTATCCTGTCATGGAAGTGGAGTTCTGGGCCTATTTGTGTCAACAAAACAGCCTGTCTTTTAAAATGTAGAGTTCCCAACTCCAGCGATGCAATCTTGGAGTTTGATAAGCAAAGCTAGGATCCCTCATTTTCACAGAAGACTGACATTCTTTGAAATTAAATGAAGCAGCCGGTCCATCCAGACATCTCTATAAATCTAAGTGTGCAACATCTGCTACATCCTGTGAACTGGCAGGTCATATGGTCATGTAATACAGCAGCTGGACACTATGAATAACTCATAGTGGGTGGCCGGTCAGCCCTGTTCACTCTTTTTCTCGGTTACCAAGTGTGGTTGAAGTTCAGGTTAAGACTCAGACCATTCATTTTCTGCTGATTTTATGCAATTGCTCTTTGAAGGGATACTGTTGCCTGATTATATGCTTAAATGAAGGGCTAATCCCAGGATTGTGTTTGCTATGAGGTATCTGAAATGAGAACACTTGTTCTTTAACAGAAAGATTAACTGTTGTTCTAATGCATCAGGGACTGGTGAAGCCTAAAGGAACTTCAAGCAATCAATAATGTTTAATTTATTAACTACAATTTAGTCCCTCAGTTCCTCAATGTAATTATACTTGCAGGCCCTGGGGCACTAAAAACGAACAGAGGTAAGGAAATTTCTGCATTGGTTTTTAGACCACAGAATGAATAAAACTGCCTTCGGTCCCTGTAAACAGAGGCCTTTAAAAACAAAGGGCCATATCATATGTGACCTTAAATGCAGATTTACATTTAACTTGCAGGTTTTAAATCCAAAAAGTATCAGAGAATGCAGAAACAACCTTCAGACGACAAATTTGTCTTAGTAGCTCAGCTGGAGAGAAAAGAGTTAACCTCCCACATGCCTGCTGCAACCCTGATAATTATCAGCACACCCCTTACCACCATTTGCATGTTTTAAAACTTGCATTTAACACTAGGTGTCCTACACCCTCTCCAGTTTTTGTATTCTCAGGGGTTGCTGTCATCTCCAAACTGTGGGCTTGGGCTGGCAATATATTCTGCCTTAAATTGGCCCTTTCACAAGTTATTCAACTTCGTAAGAAGACTGGTGCCATTTAGCGTTGTTGCACAGCTCAGAAAAGCATGGCATACAAGTGTGCAAGTCCATTAAAAATCCAAAATTAAAGTTTATCATTAAATTATGGAATCTCTCTAACAACTTGAAAATACTATTTTATTCTTTGCCTACAGTTTCATTCACAGAAAAAACCTTTTTTATTACCTTGCTTAAATCATTGTAGAGTGGGGGTGGGGGAAATCATTTAAACCTGAAGAGTAAAATCAACTATAAATTAGAAATCAGGGATGGACTGAAAAGAAACTTTTCTCCTTCAAATAGAGGAAACCATCTAGCCTGTGAAAGACTGCTTCCAAGGCTGACTGCTGATTCAAATTCCAGAGGACACATAGTCTTCCCAGGTCCCTAAATGACTTCTTGCCTTTGCCAAGGGTGACAGGCTCTGATGGGGCTCCCTCTCCAGCAGTTCCTAAGGCATAATAGAATGGAAATGTAGCTCACAATTTGACTAAAGGATCTGTTTATTTCATGTGTAGACAGCCGGCTAATTTTTTAAAATTTGTGTTCAGGGCTACCACCTTTCCTGCTACAGCTGCAGCCTTTTTTTTTTTTTTTTTTACTTTACAGTGTCTGCTTTCCAGCCCAAAGCTGGTGGGCAATCTTAGTGTTCAGCACTCTGAAGGTCCTGGAGGGTTTTCCTCTGGGCAACAGCTCTCACAGGAAGTGACATCGTCTGGTGGTCTTCCCATCATTTGTTGTAGACCCAGGGGTAGCTTAACCTGTGGCCCTCTAGATGTTAATGGCCTAAGCTCCCACCGTGGCTGGGCTGATGGAAGTTGGACCCCAACAACATATGGAGGGTCAAAGGTTGCTCGTCTCTGCTTATACCAACAAGTGTGATTTCTCTGTGTGCCATGTTCTCCCATGGGAATATGTAGGTCATGCGGCTGCCATGACTTGTAGAATTGCAGCCTTTTAAAAAGGTCCACTGTGATCATGCAGAATTTAGAGGTCATGTGTTTACTTCCTATGTGGAAGAACCAGTTATTACCTGGTTTTGTATGCACATCCCTCCCAGGTTGCAAGCCTGCCAGCGGTCTGCTCTGTATGATTGCTCTTTGATATTTAGGACCTATAATAGGCATAGGCCTTCTTTTTGTGCAATTCAGATAAAATCTAGCCTTAACTTTTAAGTGGTTTGTGGCTGAATTCAATCAAATTTTGATGTAAGATGAACTTGTGGCCAATCAATAATCCTTTTACTGTTCAGATGGCCACGTAGCCTGATATAAATTGGTGTCCTAAATTGTAGCATATTGTGCTAAAAATCCTTTAAGCCCAAGATCCACTATGACCTAGCATTTGTGAATCTTAAGCTGCAGACTCCTTGATCAGGGTACATATCCTTCTTTGGTAATTTTCTAAGAAAGGAATATAGAGAAAATTATTCTCCTCTTGGAAGCAAAGTGGAAAGCTGAAGTTACTATTCTTCATACTTCACTGGCAATTAAACGGGGGCATGTTCTACGTTTCAGCAAATACAGAACAGTAAGGCCTTTAAATTGTGTGTAAAATGATCTATTGCCATGGTCGCCAACCTTTCTGGGCACATTAGCAATCTGGAGTAACTCTTGTGGTCACCAAGCATATACCACCACCTGTTCTTTGTATTGGCTACAGTAGAATCCTCCTTTCAAGCCCAGTTTCATCAGAGTGAGGGGAGAAGACCCTGTGGGTGCCAGGGAAGGCTTCTGCAGGCGCCTCGTTGGTAACCTCTATTCTGGTGCTCTAAAACTAAGTTACAGTGACCATACAGATCAAGTACACATATTGTTCTACCTAGATTACCCTAGACTAGCTATCCCAAGCAAGTTTTGTTTTTGTATTCTTTCTTTGTGGTGAGGTGGAAGCAAACTAGATGGCCAAGAAGATCTGTCCCAATGGATCATCCAGAAATAAGAAATAGCCTTCTGGCACCTTAAAGATTAACAAAAAATTATTTTAGCATAAACTTTCATTGTCTGGGGTCCATTTCATTTCATGCAAGTGGACTCTAGTTCAACAAAGCTTCTGCCACAATAAATTTGTTAGATTTTAAAGTGCCACAAAACTCTTTGTCAACAGACTAACACAGCTGCCCCTCTGGAAATACCCTTAGAAAACCTAAAGTTAGGTTGTGACACATAAGGGCTGGGAATATACTGCATTAAACTGTCTTGAGGTATAAATAATTCTTGTTAACGCTGTATCTGCATGGGCCAGAATGCCTCTGCTACTCAAAGACCAAGTCACACACAGCTATTGTCTGCTGCTAACAGTTGGATCGCTGGCAACGTAAATATGTATTACCTTGGTAAGACAAACCTGAACATGCTTGCCCTGTGTTTTGCTTTGGGGAATTGAAAACTTCCTCTAGAAATGGCTCAGTTTTAGGTAGGTTTTATTAGGAGCAGCTCGTATGGAAGAGTCTGCCATGACATCTTATTCCCTGTGGTGTGTTGCTGCATCACTTTGTGTCCTTGGATATTAGAAAGGGAAGTATTAGAAGGAATGCTCCCTGAGTGCCAGGCTACACATTCTGTAAGGATAGAGATGAACTCTTCTTAAAGGTAAAGGTAAAGGGACCCCTGACCATTAGGTCCAGTCGTGGCCGACTCTGGGGTTGCGGCACTCATCTCGCTTTATTGGCCAAGGGAGCCGGCATACAGCTTCCAGGTCATGTGGCCAGCAGGACTAAGCCGCTTCTGGCGAACCAGAGCAGCGCACGGAAACGCCGTTTACCTTCCTGCCGGAGTGGTACCTATTTATCTACTTGCACTTTGATGTGCTTTCAAACTGCTAGGTGCAAGGAACAATTGCTTATTTCTATGGATGTCCTGCAACAAAGTAAGGAATTGCCTGCCATGGTATCTAGTTCAAGAGTTTAAATTTAGAAACAATGCCTTGCTTTTTATTTATTTTCTTCAGGTCTGGGGGAATTGAAATCGGCTTCTGTTATCACACACTGATTCCATTTATATATATTTTTGTTCAAAAGGACTGAAACAGAATGTCAGCCTCTTATGGGAGTTTGCGGGGCAATGCAACTAGGGATTGTCAATTTCAGTTCCTCTCAGGTGAGAGACTGAGCGGGAGTTTGTGTAGGTAGAGGGTGGGTCCATGAGGAAGAGAGCTGGGAGTGAGAGTTCACACGGGACACAAGCAGGGAGTGGGGGGGGCAGGGGGTGATGTTGTGATGACGGAAAGGGGTCTGACTTAAAGGTTGAAAGGGGGCCAGAGAGCCGGACGTTTCCTTTCCCACTTGTATTGGAGCTCAGCTGGGGAGAAAAAGGAGTCATGTAAGTGTCAGGATCATGTATGAATCAGTCCCAGGGTAAGTTTGCAGGGAGGTAAGATTAAGGGATTAAGCTTCAGCACCCAATTGCTTCAAAAATTGGATGTATATCACCTGCTTTATAATTGATTTTAAAAACAAGGATTGGTGCTCACAGCTTGGTTTAACTGGAGGGATTTGCCGCTAGAGGGGGCTGTAACACATTCTTTGACAACTGGATAGACAAGATTGTGACCTTTGCCCAGAGATGTCCCCAGAGCCACAACTCGGCCAGTTTCTTGATGTCTAAACTGGCCAAGCACACATGGGTCTTTAAATCCATTCAGTCTTAAGTTAAAATCAGTGTCTCTCTAGCTATATAATGTGAACTGGAGGATTTATTCCCATCCTGCTTCTCCCCCCCCCCCAAAAAAAGCTGGAGTGCAAAGCTGTGACTTTTTTTGGCGTTTGGAACATTTGTCTTTCTATGCTTGTTTTATAAGTCAAGAGTAAAAATGATCTTATTGTTGCACTATTTCAAGATGCTTTTGACTCATTAGCCAAGTATCTGAACTCCTAGTAGTAAATATAGATTCTTAACATCAGTCTTCCATTTGAGATGAATCTTAATTTATATCACAGAATAATAGAATCATCATACCTTTCAAATTTTAAAAGCATGATTGCACCTGGTGGGCTGGTTCCCCGACACATGATGGTTATGTTTTGGTGATATTTAACTTCAGTTAGAATTTTGGAGTTGATCCATCCACATAATGATTTGATTTTTGTGAAGTTGTAAGCTATTTTGTAAGGGACACGGGTGGCGCTGTGGGTTGAACCTCAGAGCCTAGGACTTGCTGATCAGTAGGTCAGTGGTTCGGATCCCCGCGACGGGGTGAGCTCCTGTTGCTCGGTCCCTGCTCCTGCCCACCTAGCAGTTCGAAAGCATGTCAAAGTACAAGTAGATAAATAGGTACCGATCCGGCGGGAAGGTAAACGGCATTTCCATGCGCTGCTCTGGTTTGCCAGAAGCGGCTTAGTCATGCTGGCCACATGACCCGGAAGCTGTACGCTGGCTCCCTCGGCCAATAAAGCGAGATGAGCGCCACAACCGCAGAGTCGCCCACTACTGGACCTAATGGTCAGGGGTCCCTTTACCTTTAAGCTATTTTTAAGTATGTGGAATTGCCTAGTTTTTTTTGGGGGGGGGTAAGGGGGTGTTAAAAGAAAAAAAAATGCAGGCTAAAATATGATTGGGAACAAAATACAGTTGAGCAAAGAAGAATAAACAGAACTTTAAGACTTGAGAACGGATAGTTGTTGGTTAAGGATAGAACCGACATAGCAGTTAAATGATGTGCTGTGGACTTTTGGCTCAAGAGACTCTGGATGACTTAATTTTGCTAAAAGTAAGCATAACTTTAGAGAGGGCATAAGTGGGAAAAGTCTAAAGGCAAAACTTACTAATTTCTGCAATGGAACTTGATGCAGACATGTCATTCAAGTTTTTGTTCATACTTGTATCTCTTATCTCTTCCCACTCCCTTTTGTTTCAAAGCACTCAATAAAATGTACTAATAGGTTATCATAATGCAGTAATAGGCTGTCAGCATTTAAGATCTATCTCATATAATTTTGATTTCTTATCGTTACGATAATTGTTGTAAATTCCTGCAGGTGTATGTATGTATGTATGTATGTATGTATGTATGTTGTGGTTTCTGTATGTAGAAGCATTTGCTCACATAGGTCTCCTGTTACCTTTGCCTTTCTCTTTCTTCTTATCACTTCTCCTAGCACTGACATTTAAATTGTAAGCTTCTTGAGACAGAGTTGTTTTGATTCTCTTACATGAGTGCTATGTACAGTGTTGGTTCCATGTCCCCTTTTGTATAAAGATAGGCAACATTATGCTAATTTAAACACTTTTTCTTAAATCTTTGAGATTTGAAGAAAAATCAGTTTTAAAAAGTTAAGAAAGTAAAAGTCAGAGGTTGCTTTGTGCCTAACCCCAAGTGACCTTACTTCAAGTTTTCTTTCTGTGTGTTCCAAAGGAGCAATGTTCCCAGGCCCTTCTCGCAACTTTGGTTGCCAGCTGGCTCCGTCCCTTTCTAGCGGATACTCCTTTGCTATTTCCAGGGCCTGGCAAAGGACGCTTCCATTTGCAATGGGCTGCCTTTTAGTAATATCTGTTTAACTATATTTTAATATGTAATAGTATGTTTATAAGCCAGCCTGTAAACAACTGAAGAAATTGAGAACTTGTAAGTCTTGCCCAGAGTGTCCTGCATGCTAATGTTTAGACTTTTATAGACTGGAATTCTTTTATTATTCTTATTTAAATTTACTGGCTTTCTTCTTTTGGAGTCCTAGCTACAAACTTGACTAATATTTCATTGAAAATCAATAGTTTTCTTTAACTGAAAATAGATTTACATAGCTTGCATTACTAGCATACTTGATGCATTTACATTGGCTTTTACGATATGGCTGCTGAAGCAGACATACGATAAAAGGGAATGGGTGTGAGTGCCTGTGGAATTTGAAGGGAGTGGCTTATATTTGGGTATTGTCTTTTTTTCTCCCCCCCCCCCCCTTGAATTTTAAAGGTGTGGCTAATATTCTTGTGCGGCTTATATTCGGGCCAATATGGTAAGAAAGCAAAATACTCTGGCTTCAGTCTTCTGGAAGGGAGATTTTAGGGTGTTGTGTTCCCTGACTGCAAATTGCAGTGGTTTGCCAAGCTGCCTAAAAATAAAGTTAGTAGTGAGTGACTTCAACATTTCCCCTTTGAAATATCGCTATTTTACACCCTACAGCCTGCAGTAATATTTTTCCTCCATTAGATTGTATTTTTGCTCTATAGTCTCTCCTGTTTACTTCTTTGAGTCACTATAAAATGTAACTTTTCTGTTATGTGACAGGTTGAAAAATACTTTCAGTACTTGAGGCAAAGCAGACGAAAATAGTGGTAAAAGTTAAAGTACATTGATCCTGTTGTTACCCCTGCAGAACTCCAGGGAAATAATCTTTGCATTTCTAGCAGGTTCCTTTCCAGCCAGAGTGCAGTAGCAAGCAGATGTTGTACCTCTACAGTGAACAAAGTACCACAACCTAGTTTTGAATTTTGAACAAGATATTTATTAAGGGAAATCTACAATCATTAGGCATATGCAGAAAATGAAGCTGTCTAGTATTATTTTATTTTATAGATGGGAAAAAGGAGTTTCATTTACATGCTCTTAAAGGCTTTGTCTCCGCAGCATGCCTGTAGTGCCACAGGGGCACGCTGGCATGTTAGATTGTTTTGAAGTGTAACAGTTGGATTCATTCTGCAGTGCCAATTAATCCTCCCCCTTTGTCCTGCTAAAATTTAAAATGGAGTTGTTTATGCATCAGCTTTATTCCGTATAGAAGGCCATATATGTAACAAAGCTCTATTTTTTATTTATTTTTGAACCCCTTTTCACCCCTCTCTGCAAAGTTCTTCTTCCCTCCCAGTTGCAGTGGGGACAGTCTTGTGATTGCCTTCAGTATCCTATAGCAGTGGTGGCGAACCTGTGGCACGCGTGCCAGAGACGGCACTCAGAGCCCTCTCTGTGGGCATGCGCACAGGTGGGAGGAGGAGGAGGGCTCACGCGTACGCACACGTCCACAGCCTGCAGCCCGAGTGCCGTAGCGTGCGTGCCAGGGGTAGGGGAGGAGGAGAGAAGGGCTGGGCTAGGGTAAGGAGAGGGGGGCGCCTCCGCCACGGAAGCAGCGGCCTCCCCTGACAGAGGGAGGCGACTTGAGCGCAACAAAACTTTTTTTTTAAATAAGATATTTATTAGGATTTTTTTTAAGATACTACAATAAAAAATGAAAAAGAAAAAAAATACAAAATAAAAATGATTAAAAACACTCAGATTTTCCATTGCTTATTTTTCTTTAGCTTGTTTCCCGGACCTCCTCATACCTCCCTTTTTTGTATTCCAGTTCAGTTTGTTGGTTCAGCAAATCCTTACCCTCTTTGTTTATCCTAATCTTTGGTCTTAAAATAGTAACATTAGATTTTTACCTCTTAACAACCCCATTTTCTTATTCCCTTAAAGCATTACAGCTAGAAACCACTTAATTTCTATCCAACATCGTTCTAACATTCATTAATTTTACAATATTTCTGTAGATAATCTTTGAACTTCTTCCAATCTTCTTCCACCGACTCTTCTCCCTGGTCTCGGATTCTGCCAGTCATTTCTGCCAGTTCCATATAGTCCATCAGCTTCATCTGCCATTCTTCCAGAGTGGGTAGATCTTGTGTCTTCCAATACTTTACAATGAGTATTCTTGCTGCTGTTGTAGCATACATAAAAAAGGTTCTATCCTTCTTTGGCACCAATTGACCGACTATGCCTAGGAGAAAGGCCTCTGGTTTCTTCAAGAAGGTATATTTAAATACATTTTTCAGTTCATTATATATCATTTCCCAGAAAGCCTTAATCCTTGGGCACGTCCACCAAAGGTGAAATAATGTACCTTCAGTTTCTTTACATTTCCAACATTTGTTATCGGGCAAATGATAAATTTTTGCAAGCTTGACTGGGGCCATGTACCACCTGTAAATCATTTTCATAATATTCTCTCTTAGGGCATTACATGCCGTAAACTTCATACCTGTGGTCCATAACTGTTCCCAGTCAGCCATCATTATGTTATGACCAACGTCTTGTGCCCATTTAATCATAACAGATTTCACCGTTTCATCCTGAGTATTCCATTTCAACAGCAAGTTATACATCTTTGACAAAATCTTAGTTTTGGGTTCTAATAGTTCTGTTTCTAATTTTGATTTTTCCGCCTGGAAACCAATTTTCTTTTGAGTGCAACAAAACTAACAACCGCAAGACGGGAGATGATCTGGTGTGGGAATTTGTGCGTGGGGGCCTTAGAAACCTCCTGCGCTTTCTTGGGAATGAAGCGTTGCCAAGGTCGGCGGGGTTTACTCCCGAGTAAAGGTGTGCAGAATAAGGAGGAGGGAAGCCTGGTGAGGACTCAAAGGGGGCCAGGTGTAGGTGAGGGAATTAAGAACAAGAAGGTGGGCAACACTGGGGTGTGAGGGATGGGCGTCCTCTCTGGAGGGTTGTTTCCCATTATAAAGAGTATCTGAGGAGGGATCAACAGGACTTCAGCCAGCCGACTTCCCGTGGGACTGATAGGGGTGCATGTAAACACGCTTGTGCAGGTTGCATTTTGCAATAAACAGGTGCTTAATTTTTGGCAGGCAGAAGGGGGACCCTTTTTTGGGTCATGTGGTTTGTGTTTAGCCTTTTATCTTGTGAATGTAGATATTTACATATGGAAAAAGTATTGGAAGGGAGGAGGGTTATTGGTTTGTTCTTGTTTTCATTATGTATTTTGTGTTTTTTATCTTCTATTTTTATGCTGTGAACTGCCCTGAGACTTGCACATGAAGGGCGGTATGCAAATTCAATAAATGAATAAATAGAAGGATTTGGATCTGAATGGAGAAAAAAAGCACTGAGTTATACCATAAAATTATATATCTATGGAAAGATAATTTAATGAAGAATGTAATGCAATAACTTTCATGAAGGATTATTTATTACAACAGCAGTCATAAAGAAGAAACGTGAAACACACAGAAAAATATACAGGTGAAATTGCCATGTGGCACTTTGCGATAAATACTGTATTAGACACACCTGACCATAAGGCGCATCTAGTTTTTAGAGGGGGAATGCAAGAAAAAAAATATTCTTTAAAGGGAGCGCTGAGCAGAGCTTGTGTGCATCCCAGGCTCTGTTCAGCGCTCCCTTTCACGAGCCGTGAGGAGCATGTGTGTGGCGCTTGCAGGCTTCTCCCTCCTCGGGGAAAAGCCCCCAAGAGCCACACACACACTCCACATGGCTCTTTAAAGGGAGCGCGGCTATCCCTGGCTTTTGCAGGAGGTGGGGGAAGTGTTCTGGCTTCTGGGATAGCCGTGCAGCCTGCATTCGCTCCATAAGATGCACACACATTTCCCCTTACTTTTTAGGAGAGAAAAAGTGTGTCTTATAGAGCGAAAAATACGCTAAGTGGGTTTTGGGTTGCAGTTTGGGCACTCAGTTTCTAAAAGGTTCGCCATCACCGTCCTATAGCATTCGTCTAATTAGTGTATTGAGACCCACAGCCTGGGTCACATACGCCTTGAAGGTGGATTGTGTACCACCACTGTTTTTCTTTTGGATGGTTTTTTTCTCTTTTAGGGAGGAGAGTGAAGAGTAGGCAAAAGAGAGAGCATGGGAAACCAGATTCAAAAAGGCCATCTTGTAAGAGATACATTTAAAAGTCGCCCCCGTGTTTCAGGCTCTTTGATGGGTTTGAAAAAGTAAAGATGACTGGCAGCAAACCCGGGATGGATGTTGCTCTTGCCCGTAGCTGCACTGCTGCCTCCCAGCACCATCACGGAGGGTTCATGGCCATTTGAATGAGGCAGTGGCGACATCCTGCTGCAGATGTGGAAGGCTTTCGTCCCTGCCATCAGGGTGGCTGTCTGTAGCAGAGCTGCAAAAAAGGGAGGGAGAGGTGAGAAGCAGGGGGACCAAGCAGCACTGAGAAGGCCCTTTTGCACCTGCAAGGCTGCCAAATGCTGCTTGTCCTTCACCCCCCAGAGGTGTGCTCACCTGGCAGGGAATCCACACCTTTCCCATTTATGCTGTAAGAACTAAGTCTGTATTCTTTCATGTCCCTGTGATATCACTGCTAGTATTTCTCTCTCTAACTTTATAGCCATGTGCCTCCTTCAGATAACATTCCATGCATCTGATTAGGTGGACCTGAGTCCATTAAAGCTTATAAAATGATCAGTTTGTTAGTCTTTCAGGTGCCAGAAGACTTTGCTGTAACAGACTAACACAGTCACCACTCTAGAAATTTTTCTAAATAGGTGATCAGCGGTCAGCAGGGGGCCAGTCCACTGTCCCTCAGACCTTGTGGGGCCAGACTGTATTTGGTGGGGGGGGAATTAAACGAATTCCTATGCCCCACAAATAACCCAAAGATGCATTTTAAATAAAAGGACACATTCTACTCAAGTAAAAACACGCTGATTCCTGGACCACCCACGAGCCGGATTTATAAAGCGATTGGGCCGGATCCAGCCCCCGGGCCTTAGGTTGCCTACCCATGGTGTAGATCTAGTAATTTGTGAATACGTAGCAAGCTTGTAGATTGTGAACATGTTAATCCTATACATGTTTCCTCAGAGTAAGTCTCCTAGATTTAAATTGCAATTAGTTCCAACCACATGTGCATAGCTTTGCAACACTAATGTGCTGCTGGACTAGATTATTGTGGCTTTCTTTGGATAGCTTTGATATGTTGTAAGGCGCTTTGACTGGGTAATTAAATGTTTCTCTCTTTTCCCCTTCAGCTTTTCGCTGTAGCCTCCAGTTTCTTGGAAACATTGCAGCTGGAAACAAAGCTTCTCAGCACAGGATTTGGACTCTTGCTTTCCCTTCGCTTTTCTTGTAAGCATCTTGTCCCGCCCATCAACAAATGAAATATTATATGGTTATATTTTAAGTTACCTTATTTACCATCCCTAAAATGTGTTTTTGGAGAATCAGAGAGTAGTACTTTATTTGTGTATGCTAATCACAGGAATCAGGTTAACTGGGGAAAAAAATCTTGTTCTAAATTTGACCATAGATTGGGTTGGTTTTCGACATAGGCTGCAAGATCACCAGTAGGCTTAATATGCTTAACGTTTTGTGCCAAATCATATGCAGGTAGGTACAATGGGTTTTAATTCATTAATGCTTGGCTAAATACAAGTTTATCTTGACCAAAATATCACAGTTTACATAAAAAAATTCAGTTATGAATTTAGAACAGGATCTTGAAATTCTTTACAGCTAGGTTTTAATAGGACTGCTATGAATTTCAAGAAAACCTGGTCAGTTGATTAATTGTTGATTAAAGCTGCATAAATTTGGGTATTAATCGCATATGAATAACTCAGTATATGAATAACTTTACTTGCTTTTAGATGATTTACAAATTCCTGATGGCAGCATTTTAGATAACACATTTCCTTTTGCATGTGAGAGAAGAATAAATGGTTATATTAATATTGCACTGGCCAACTCATTTTTTGTCAGTTATAGTATTAAAATAGTTACATTTTTTTAAAAATTGCTGCCTGATATTAATTTGGGGCCTACTTTTAGTTAATTAATTGGTTGGAGTAACTTTGATTAAATAAATGTTGCAACCCCACTTTTTAGTCTAACGTCACCTCTAAGAGGAAATGCTAAATTCAAATAAATTGTTCCAGAAATGTATAGTAGTATTTGAAACCTTAAACTCCTTTCTCAATGAAAAACTAATGACTTTGTATTACACTGTTTAGAATTTGCAAACTACTTTTTAAATTGCCCATTGCAACATTGTCATGAGGCAACAAAGTTTTTGAACAAAGTTTGACAGAGTTTGGGGGATTTAAATAGAAAAATCTCCATTTAAAAATCTCTACTTGGCCACAACTCTAACCTGCTTCCCAAAACTGTGAGGGCAAGGTAGCAAACAATGAAGTAAAAAACACTGTACACAGCATCACAATTTAAACATTTCTAGTTACCATTCCATTCATATAAACATAAGCGCTTAACTTTGTATGAATTCCCTCTCTGTTTCCAAAGAGTGTCAAAGCAATTGGTGTTAAAAGGATGACGTAATAATACAGCTTCAGTGCTTGCTTGCTTCAGTAGCAATTCTTAGATTAGCATAACCAGACAGGAACCAATCCTGACCTTTCTAGTCTCAGGTAAACTTTTGGATGGATGGATGTGTGAGTGAAAACACTTCTCTATAAACAGGCCTTTGGTTGATTTACATTCTATGGCTTTTTAAATGTATTTGTGGGAGTGGGGTTATTGGTTTGTTTTCTTTGTTTTTGTTTTATGAAGTATTTTGTGTTCTTATTTTGTATTTTTATGTTGTGAACCACCCTGTGATCTTCGGATGGTATTTTATTGATTGATTGATTGATTGCATTACACATTGAGGTATTAATTGGGGATATCCATTCGAATAAAATAACCCCCAAAGTCCCTTCCAACATTCTTAGATTCAGTAAATACCCATCACCATTTGAAGAGTTGGGTGCATTACATATTGTCTGTTGGTACATAGCCTAAACAATCCAGAACAATAAATATTCCTGTTTTTTCGTTTTGTTTTTGAGGAATTGCTTGAAACATCAAGATGAGAAAGTGGTTTCCTATTGCTGTATGGTTCTTTTCACTTGTCTTAACCCTGAGAGGACAAGAGAACTACAGGAAGAAAGCAACTTGAACGTTGCCCTTGCTGTTCTGCAGGCATCCAGGAAGTACCCGGAATCGGAATGGACGTCTGTATACCTCTCCTTTTCCCCAATACATTACCTTAAGTCTTTGATAGTTGTCTTTTCTCAGATGAGATGTGCAGCTTGCTTTTAACTTCTTTTAGTAAATACATTGTAATAACTTAATATTGATTTTAATTCTAAGAGAACTTAACAATATGTAAACTTTATATTGGCCCAAAATAAGGCTGGGATTGAAAGAACTGAATGCCCAATGGTGCTCCATAGTCTCTGGTAGAAGTCACGTGTTTCTAACAAGCTGGGCCATAATTACAATAATTTCACACTCTTCATCTCTTGCTAGAAGTTGTTGTGGGAGGAAGGAGAATGTGATAAACCCTTTTGGATGTGCAGGTTGTTGGGCTTTTTTTTTGCATGTCTGCAGGGCTCTTTTGACTCTAAAATAAAATACCACTTGCAGATAGGGATGGTGAGAAATTTGAAACTCTCTTATTTTGGCGCCCACAACCCAGGTCCCAGAAGCCATTTGGCTCCTAGCTTTTCTACCCCAGTTTCTAACACTGACTGCCTTCAGATGTCTTCTAAAAGTCAGGATGTTGTTTATTTCCTTGACATCTGATGGGAGGGCGTTCCACAGGGCAGGAGCCACTACCGAGAAGGCCCTCTGCCTGGTTCCCTGTAACTTGGCTTCTCGCAATGAGGGAGCTGCCAGAAGGCCCTCGGCGCTGGACCTCAGCGTCCGGGCAGAACGATGGGGGTGGAGACGCTCCTTTAGGGCTTTAAAGGTCAGCACCAACACTTTGAATTGTGCTCAGAAACAGATATTTTGATTATTAAAAAGTCTTCTGTCTCTGAGATTCTTCTCAAAGAATTAGCCATGGTTTTATATATTTAAATGTGAAAGGCAAGATACCATCTTTACTTTGATATACTGTGGTGGTTGCCTTAGTTTCAAATTTATTAGCATATTTAGTCGTTGCCCCCCCCCAAAACCCCCCAGTATACTCATTTTTGTTTTCTTACATAGAGGCATTTCCCTCCCTAAATGATGACTGATATACTCTATATACGGAAATAGTATATGCTGTTGTTTTAAGTGAGGGAATTGTTTTTTCTAGCACAGTAGTGGCCTTAAAAAGGGGGGGATGGGACATTTTATTAATGTTGAAGGTGTGTGTGTGTGTCTAGCTTTCTTCAGTTGTTGTTTTTCATCTAAAACAACTTGAGCCCTCTTCCCATGTACCAGAAATATACACTGCTTAAACTGAGCATCTTGGCCTCACTAGATATGGTAACCTGGATTTCTTCAGGTGCAGAATTGTACTGTCTGAGGTCGATGAATTTTAACAGGGAGAAATGTAAAGTATTGCACTTGGGCAAAAAAAATGAGAGGCACAAATACAAGATGGGTGACACCTGGCTTGAGAGCAGTACATGTGAAAAGGATCTAGGAGTCTTGGTTGACCACAAACTTGACATGAGCCAACAGTGTGACGCGGCAGCTAAAAAGCCAATGCAATTCTGGGCTGCATCAATAGGAGTATAGCATCTAGATCAAGGGAAGTAATAGTGCCACTGTATTCTGCTCTGGTCAGACCTCACCTGGAGTACTGTGTCCAGTTCTGGGCACCACAGTTCAAGAAGGACACTGACAAACTGGAACGTGTCCAGAGGAGGGCAACCAAAATGGTCCAAGGCCTGGAAACGATGCCTTATGAGGAACGGCTAAGGGAGCTGGGCATGTTTAGCCTGGAGAAGAGGAGGTTAAGGGGTGATATGATAGCCATGTTCAAATATATCAAAGGATGTCACATAGAGGAGGGAGAAAGGTTGTTTTCTGCTGCTCCAGAGAAGCGGACACGGAGCAATGGATCCAAACTACAAGAAAGAAGATTCCACCTAAACATTAGGAAGAACTTCCTGACAGTAAGAGCTGTTCAACAGTGGCATTTGCTGCCAAGGAGTGTGGTGGAGTCTCCTTCTTTGGAGGTCTTTAAGCAGAGGCTTGACAACCATATGTCAGGAGTGCTCTGATGGTGTTTCCTGCTTGGCAGGGGGTTGGACTCTATGGCCCTTGTGGTCTCTTCTAACTCTATGATTCTATGATTCTATGATTCTATGGTTATACAGGTTACTTTTTAAAATACAAAGCAATTTAACTTGGTCTCCTTAGAAGTTAGCCTGGCCAAGGGGTCTTGGGACTCAGTAGATCTTGAAGAGTCATACTTGGCAACTCACTGTGGCAGAAATGTGGGCTTAGGGATCTGAGCAAATAGGATGCTGTCCACTTGGCTGTACCCTGTATTATGTGCAACCTAGCGTAGCTTACTTGCAAGTAGATTGGTCAGAGATAAAAGGTTTTCCATATATAAATGTTCCTGAAGCAATTCACAATATATCCGGTTAAAAGGACCTCAGGTATCAGGGGTGGAGAAAGCATCTAGCTGAAATCTTGGATAGCCGCTAGATAGTAAAGGGGATAGTTTTGTGCTAAATACACCTATGGGTGGTTAATTATAAGGCAGCTTCTCTAATCCTTATATTGTAATGATTAGCATAGGCCATAATAATAATAAAAAAATAGAGCAAGGATCTTGTGTGGATGTATTGCATTGCTGACAGAGAGTGTGAGTTCTGTGCAATACATACTGTGCCAAATCATAGATATATAGTCTGTGTGTGTGTGTATGTGTGTGTGTGTATATATATATATATATATATCCATCGTCTTCTATCCTGTTTATTATCCCAGTCCTGTAATCATTACTGTGGTTATCTACTCATATGTTTTCCTGGGTAGAGGGAGAGGAGATAGCAGAAATAAGATGGGAATGTCATGAACTGCAGTGTAAACTGATCCAACTGCTTCTCTGAGTTGCATTTCTTCCTTCCCTCCCCCTCCCCCTTTTACGTATAAAAAAACACTTCTTTACACGCAAGCAGATGAAAAGTCATGCCTTAGGCACTGGAAAATTTAAAAGTCTTCAAGAAGTCAGATAATTTTTTTCTATTTTGGTTTGCTCTAATCAACAGCAGAGAAGAGCCTTGTGTCTTTTGAAAACTACTGCCTGTAAAAGGGAAAAGAAACAACTTTGGACACCATATGTTATCTATTTTAAACACTGAACCTGCAAACACATACTGTATATCTGGGATAGGGAAAAGTGCTTCAAAGATGCATTATAATTTATCCAGTATATGTTATAAAAGCTAATTTAGAAAAAGTATGGATATTCAATTACAGACTAGATTTAGGACTGGTGCTCCATTAAGGAAGGGTTTCTCAGTGAGCTTCAATCAGCTACATTTGTCATATTAAAATTACTGATTTGAAGAAAAGGCATTCTTTGTCTTTAGATAATTTTAGAACAAGCATTCCCTCCTGAGCACCCAAGGAGAGCCTGCTGGATCAAGCCAGTGGCCCGCCTAGTCCAGCATCCTGGTCTCACAGGGCCAAGCAGATGCCTGCGCTCTGCCTCTATGCAGGACCGGAGGGTGTCCTCCCTTGCGGTCTTAGAGGCAGACTGGCTCTGACAAGGGAGGTCCTAGTGCACAGCCCTCATGGCTAGTAGGAGACGCCAAGCCTGCAAGAAGGGCGCTTCCCCACTCGTGATTCCCAGCAATGGTATTCAGAGGCATCTCACCTCTGATATTGGAAGTAATACACAACCACTGTAGTGGTAACCACTGATAGCCTAAACCTCCATGAATCTGTCTGACCCCTTTTCAAGCCATCCTGGTGGGTGGTCATCACTACATTTTGTGACGGCAAATTCCATAGTACAGTGTGTGAAGAAGTGCTTCCCTTTCCCCATTTTGAATCTTCCAACATTCTGTTTCATCGAATGTCCCCAAATTCTAGTATTATAAGAGTGGGAGAAAAGTTTTCTCGGTCTAGTTTCTCCACACCATGCATAATTTCTATCATATCTCTTCTTACTCACCTTCTCTCTCAACCAGTAAGCCCCCAACACTGTAACCTTTCCTTGATCATTTTGGTTTACTTTTTCTACATCTTTTCCAGTTTTGAAATACCCCTTTTGAGGTGAGGAAACAAGAACTTTATTCCAAGTGTGTTTATACATGCGAAGTCCAGAAAAAAGCAGAATTCTTTGGGGAGGAACCATTTTTATCTGTTGATATAGTTGTGGTGGAGGAGAGGATAATGGGGGAGAAGAAACTAAACTGTGCCCTGCTTCGTATTTGTTCTTAACTGGAATAAGCTTATATGAATACAGTGGTACCTCGGGATGCGAACGTGATCCGTTCCGGAGCCCTGTTCGCATCCCAAACGGAACGTAAGATGCGACGGCACATCTGCGCGTGCACGGCTCGCGTTTTGCCACTTCTGTGCATGCGCCTGATGTCATTTTGAGCGTCTGCGCATGCTTGAGCGGCAAAACCTGGAAGTAATGCGCTCTGTTACTTCCAGGTTGCCACGGAGCGCAACCCGAAAGCGCTCAACCGGAAGCACATTCAACTCGAGGTATGACTGTATAGCTGATTCTGTACATCACTTCTACAAGTTTAAAGACCAGGAAATAGGGTTATCCTTCCCCACTTCATAGGTACTTCAAGCTTGTGGAGCTAATCATGAATGGAAAGCCAGTAGTTGAGACCAGAAGCTGTGAGGAAGTTTGAAAAGGGAGTCATGGAATTGTAGAATCATTATGCTATAATGTGTAAAGTATTCTCTAGCTGTGTGTAAAAATATTTTTCAGCCCTCTTACGGGTTGAAAATCCTTCCTTCCTAACTTAGGGATAGTTTTATTTTTTCCCCTACAAAATTGTGTGCTCTCCAAAAGACCAAATTTGTTTTTAATTCCTGGAAAGTTGGAGTTTCCTCATGTTACAAGTTCCAAGTGCAAGTGAGGGTTTGATAGCTATTTCTCACTGGAAAAAATGTTCTTTAATTGTAGTGTTGCAACAGATACTTGACATCTGTAGAAGCAATGCTGGTATTCTACAAGAACTCTTTTAATAGTTTTCTCTCAAAGCCATGACTATATTTGACTTTTGAATGGGAATTGTGACTAATATAATCACAAACACCATGTGGAAATGATTTTTGTGCTGAAGCTGGGCAAAGCACATCTAATGGTCCTATTCTCAGCATTGAAGCTGGGCCACATTGCATAATATAAACAGAATGCCTTTGTGGGTGGGGCTACAAGTGGATCTGGCCATTTGGAGTGTCAAGGGACATACTTTGCACAACATGAGGATGCTGCTGAAAAGGCATATTCCCTTGGTGAATTTGCCTTCTTTTATCTGTAATATTTAGGAGCCCTTACGCCATGTTGTGAAGTCATTCTGTGAGTTTTCATGTCTCATTCCTTATCATAGGCTGGTGGAGAGAAGAAAAACTCAGAATGCAATGGTGTCACTGCATGGGGCAAGCGTTATGGATAATGACATTTTTGGTGGTACCCCCATTTTGCATTTAATAATAATAATAATAATAATAATAATAATTTATTATTTGTACCCCGCCCATCTGGCTGGGTTTCCCCAGCCACTCTGGGCGGCTTCCATAGAAACCAAAAAAACACTAAAATATCATACATTAAAAACTTCCCTGAACAGGGCTGCCTTAAGATGTCTTCTGAATGTCAGGTAGTTGTTTATCGTTTTGACATCGGATGGGAGGGTGTTCCACAGGGCAGGCGCCACTACCGAAAAGGCCCTCTGCCTGGTTCCCTGTAGCTTTGCTTCTCGCAATGAGGGAACCGCCAGAAGGCCCTCGGCACTGGACCTCAGCGTCCGGGCAGAACGATGGGGGTGGAGACGCTCCTTCAGGTATACTGGGCCGAGGCCGTTTAGGGCTTTAAAGGTCAACACCAGCACTTTGAATTGTGCTCGGAAACGTACTGGGAGCCAATGTAGGTCTTTCAAGGCCGGTGTTATGTGGTCTCGGCGGCCGCCCCCAGTCACCAGTCTAGCTGCCGCATTCTGGATTAGCTGTAGTTTCCGAGTCACCTTCAAAGGTAGCCCCACATAGAGCGCATTGCAGTAGTCCAAGCGGGAGATAACTAGAGCATGCACCACTCTGGCGAGACAGTCCGCGGGCAGGTAGGGTCTCAGCCTGCGTACCAGGTGGAGTTGGTAGACAGCTGCCCTGGATACAGAATTGACCTGCGCCTCCATGGACAGCTGTGAGTCCAAAATGACTCCCAGGCTACGCACCTGGTCCTTCAGGGGCACAGTTACCCTATTCAGGACCAGGGAGTCCTCCACACCAGCCCGTCCCCTGTCCCCCAAAAACAGTACTTCTGTCTTGTCAGGATTCAACTTCAATCCATTAGCCGCCGTCCATCCTCCAACCGCCTCCAGGCACTTACACAGGACCTTCACCACCTTCACTGGTTCTGATTTGAAAGAGAGGTAGAGCTGGGTATCATCTGCATATTGATGGACACCCAGTCCAAACCCCCTGATGATCTCTCCCAGCGGCTGCATGTAGATGTTAAAAAGCATGGGGGAGAGGACGGAACCCTGAGGCACCCCACAAGTGAGGGCCCAAGGGTCTGAACACTCATCCCCCACCACCACTTTCTGAACACGGCCCAGGAGGAAGGAGCGAAACCACTGTATAACAGTGCCCCCAGCTCCCAACCCCTCTAGACGGTCCAGAAGGATGTTATGGTTGATGGTATCAAAGGCCGCTGAGAGATCCAGCAGAACTAGGAAACAGCTCTCACCTTTGTCCCTAGCCCGCCGGAGATCATCAACCAGTGCAACCAAGGCAGTTTCAGTCCCATGATGAGGCCTGAACCTGATTGGAAGGGATCCAAATGGTCCGCATCCTCCAGGCGTGCCTGGAGTTGTTCAGCAACCACACGCTCAATCACCTTGCCCAAGAATGGAAGATTTGAGACTGGGCGATAGTTGGCCATACTGGCCGGGTCTAAAGATGGTTGTTTAGGAGCGGTTTAATGACCGCCTCTTTCAGCGGATCTGGGAATGTTCCCTCACAGAGGGAAGCATTCACCACCCCGCAGAGCCCATCGCCCAGCCCTTCCCGGCTTGCTTTTATAAGCCAGGATGGGCAAGGATCAAGGAGACAGGTGGTTGGTTTCACACGTCCAAGCAGCCTGTCCACATCCTCGGGGGTAACTTGGTTGTGATTTAATGTGTAACTTGGTTGTGATTCTGTTTGTTTTCCAACCCCCTTCCTTAATCAGTCAGATTTATTACTTGTAAAAGGTGTGATTTTGCTTCTTAAGGAAATGCAACTATTTTGGTTTGAGATGAAATAATCCTATAATCTGGTAAATCTTCCCTTCTCCTGTTTATAGCGAAATCATAGCACATGACTTGAATGGAGCTCATGCTCATGTAAATATATATAGGATTGCACCCTTAGTGTTCTGACTGTCTCAAAAACCAAGTGCCTACTTGGTTACCTGGTCACCTGAAATTCACAGTCAACAGCTAAAAAAAAATTATGATTGTTTTTTCCATCTTTGTCCAAGACTGAATCCTGAAGGTTTCAAATGTTTGTTACGCAGCAGTGCATGATCCATTGGACAAAGGGGTGCATGTGGAAAGAACATTAGATTGGGAATCTCCATTTTTGTAGTTTAGGAAAATCTACAGAGGAATTTGCCTACTTCTGTTATCAAAGATGTCCTGGCTTGCGTGGGACAGGGAATTTAATCCAACTATTTGTGTGCATAAGAAATTCAGTATCATAATTGAGTTATCTATTTAGCATGTTTACATTTACAAATGATTGTATTCTTGTGTCTCCCATTTACTTTATATTACGTTTAAGTCTGCCTGAACAATATCCAATTCATTTATTTTATTTTATTTTTTTTAAAATACCATTTACTATTTAATCTTCTTAAACTGGGGTCAAGGAATAGAGGCGCAATGGACCAACTTCTGAAGTGTTGCCAGCCAGGACAGAAAGCGGGGGGGGGGGGGGGGATTTTTTATATTTTGCAATGCTACCACTAAGCTAGCATACTTGAGGGGTCTGAGGTGGAATGCATGGTGTTTTGGATCGGACAGAACCAAAGCTTTGGCAACCCATGGACAGCTAGGAGCCTAAAATGACCCCCAGGCTGCACACGTGGTCCTTCATGAATTTAGGAGGTTAGGGATTGCAGTAGCAATTAGCAAATTTATTTATAGGCTAGAATTTCTGACGACACGTGTCCAGGGCTGGATTTAGGTTTGATGAGGCCCTAAGCAACTGAAGGTAATGGGGCCCTTTGTATGTCCAGCTGTCCTTTGTCCACAACAAATTGTCACTGGCTTTTTGTGTTGAATATATGCTATATGGTAATTTATGGATCTAATAGGTATCTAAAGCCATTTGCACATAACAAAGTATGTCTTTGATCAAAGTAATTGTTGAACTTATCTTATATTTTGGAAATGTACATCTAGTTTTTCCCCCCCTTTAAATTTTTTTGGGGGCCCCAAGAGAGTGGGGTCCTAAGCTACAGCTTGTTTAGCTTATACGTAAATCCGGCACTGCGCATGTCCATGGTTGCAAAGAAAAAAATAGTTAAATTTGTTGTTGTTGTTTACTTCTTATATAGTTTAGCAGGTACTGATAGAAATGTAACTTGATTAGTGACCAATTATTATAAAATGCCTGTGTGAACTACCGGTAACTTTGCACAGTGCAAAGTAGCTAACTTTTGCAGTTTTCCTACAACCAACAACAGTTTGTCCTATTGTTCTTCCTCCCCTTTCAGGTTCTTGATTGTTACCAACCATTTGCTGAAGTGCCCCGAGTTGGTCAAAGCCATGTATGCCAAACTGAGCAATCAAGAAAGGTAACCCCAAAAACCAATGTGGGTTTCAGCATTTAGCATTCCATATAGAGTATCCTGTTCACATGATCTGAAAAAAAAAAAGTGTGGTTTCATAGTTGGCACAGAATCTCTAAATACATGTTTCTATGTCAGTAATGGTTTTAAATTGGTTGGTTAACATTACAATTTAGCCACAACTGGCAGGGATTTAGACAGGGGTTGCAGAATCCAGGTTGGCGCCCTTGCTCTGTAAGAAATGCGCACACAGAAAGAGAAAATGAAGGCAAGATTTCATGCTTATGCCTTGATTTCATAAGTGCACCGCACCCTCTTGTATTTTATGGCTCAACTTATACAGCCATTTAATAGCTATTTGAAAAAAACAGATTTGCACCAAATAACTTTAGATATGCTTCACTACCTTGCAAAGGAAGTGCACAATGAATGCGACAATACATTTGTGCCGTGTTCTTTTATATCTCAATCTGCACAAACAAGCACATAAATTCTGTGTATGGAAAAGAGCAAGTGTGCTGCTCTTCAAAAAGGAGATGGGTGGGGTAGAAGTTGCACATTATAGGTCAGAATCTACAATATACATATTTTTAACAAAATCAGGCAGGCCTCATTAAAAAAAATATAAGGAGATGTGGGCCAGCAACTGGCTGCACCACTATTTAGTGAACAGAAACCTGAAAGGCGGTTAGGTTAGATTAGCACCCTGTGGACGGGATTTTTTTCTGGGGAGCGGACAACGTATGATGATCTATTCTGCATTCCTCACCCCACTTACATGGGAGTTAGCCCTATTGATTAGACATAGTTAGGATTACAGTCTTAAGTGAGTATGTTTTTTACTCAACTAGTTTTTACTGATTTTGAATCTGAAGCAAAAGCTGAGCTTTTAACTTGGCTTGAGGCCTGCCCTTACCATTTAGTTTATATGCTGCACTTAACCTTAAGTCGAACCTGTGGTAAGCTTCCACTGAGGTTTTTAGACGTATAAGTTACTCTTTAGTTTTAAGATGTCAGTTTCATACCCTAAATTTGAAACTGAACTACGGTTGTAGTTGCGGTTTGCTGCAGTCCCCCAAGGCTGCCCTGCTAGAGTTAGAGCAGGAAAAAAAGGTTCAACAGACTTCTCACCCCTAGGATGCCACTCCTGAACTATAATTTTTACAGGGTTTAGATTAAGCTCCTGCCGCCCATTGCCTTTCCCCTTGTTACAGTTTTAGTTGTACTTTAAGAAAATACATGAATAAATGGTTGGTAAACACAGTACTTGCCCTTTCCATGCCCAACCCTCTGACTTGCTTGTTACCTTGACAGTTTGTTCCTGGGCCCTAGACTTTACATCAGCTTCGTAAGGAACAAACAAAATCACGTTTCACTGTTGGTGCTAGCAGTAGAACTGCCAGCAGTAGCAGGCAAAAGAAATCAAGCAGTGTATACATTTTATGAAACAAACAAACAAACAAACAAACAAACAACAATATAAAAAGTTGCCAGGGGGCTCCCTCACACAGAGCCTGCCACTTCTGGCCGCAGCCCTAGCAGCCAGAACGCAGTAGAAGGGGCAGTGGAGTGGCCTCCTCCTCCTGCGTTTCTAGCTTGACACCTTCTTCTCTTTTTACTAGTCTGCTTTTTACTCCCCAGAGGGGCTGGCAAAGAAGGGACCAAGTGCTCTGTCCAACCTCTAAAAGCCCCTCATATCAGAAATATCAGAGAATTTCATTTTACAGGCTAGTAAGTTTTAAGACTTGGGATATAGTTTGGGAATCAGGATTCGTCTCAAGGGAGCATCTTATTAATTGAACAATAATTGGACAACTTAAATTGGGGTGGGGGTTGTTAACATTTTGTAACACAAGAATTGGGAATACTGTAACCTAGGCAGTTGACTCCCTGTGAAGTTAAAGGAGTATATTCATGTATCATATCAAACTGTACTACCTTTTAAATTTGGAAAAAATGAGGGTTATTGTTTGGGGAAAAGATTTTGGAATTTCTTCTTCAGAGAGGTAGGGCCGAAAATATAGGAGCCAAAAAACATTTTTCTGCCAGTACATCATTGAAAGAGACTTAATTTAAGATACTCTAGATAATATGTGACACATCAAAGAATAAATATATGGAATGGATATGTTTGGATGCTTGAAATGTGGAATGGTGGATGCAGACTTATATGTTATGAAGATGTCCCACAGTTCAAAATGATTGGGCTCAAGTTTTAAGGATCAGTTTGCAAATTGACATACTAACAATGGTTCTAAATTGTATAATGAATGTACCAAAGAAACCTGATAGTTAATCTTTTGCTAGTGGCCAGCATAATACTTGTTCAATACTGACAAAAATTGTCAGCTCATTCTACTGGAGCAGCAGACTCCAGCCTGGTGCCCTGTTTTGGAATACAACTTTCATCTGCCCCAGCCAGCATCTTCAGGGGTCAAGAATTATGAGAGTTGTAGTCTTAAACAAGAAAGAAAAACAAAAAATGGGTCATTTCCTGAATTTAATAAAAGAAATATATCACACATCTGGTATAGACTGAAGGATAAACTGAGTGAATATTACCTCTTACTTCAGTTTAATTGTTGTAAACCACTCTGATTTTTTAAAAAAAATGAGTAGTGGTATATAAACATTTTTATAACTAGGTAAGTAAAAATCATACTTAAGGTGTGGATTGGAATTTCTTTGGTCAGAGACTCCATGAGGCATCAGGAGATCTGTGGTGGCCTAGCAACCGTGGTCTAATTTAAATATATTGACTGTGCCCTCCGTTTGGTATGCTTCAATGTAAATAAGCAAGGCTTGCATTTTTATTCTAGGGCGTCGTTTTTAGAATTGATACAGTCAGAAATTGGTGAAAACGATACAGTTATCAGTGCAGAAACAGCCAAATTTCTTGTAAATTGTTTTAAGGAGAAATGTCAAGCCGTGCTCATATTGGCTTTTGCAGCAAATGATGATGATGAGGTAAGTATATTTTTATCTGATGTTGTAAACCTGATGAAACGTGATCTGATCTAGAGCTCTGTGGCTCTCATTTGCATTTACCAGTTCAGCTCACTACAGACAGTTACTCCGTACATGTCCTGTAAGACATTATTGATAGGAAAGCAGACATTTAAAAAACAAATGTTAAAAATCACCTGCATCCATGGATTTTTCTGCTGTCTTGAAACAAATAGGGATGTTCTGTGGTTGGGCAAAGAGCGGAGGCCAATTTATGAGATCTTGGTGATTGAGTCTGTAGTATCAAGTGCATGAAATATCAGAGATGTTTGGATATGCATGTCCCAGTAATAACTTGTAATATTGCCACACAGTTGATATATTAGCTGATACAGTTCGTCCTAATACTTGTGGCTAGATCACATTGAAAATTACTTGTACTCTCTTAGGCTACAAATGGGGGATTCCTTTGTTTGAATTCTTCCCTGTGGGAAGGAAAATAGCCTTCTGAGTTGAACAAAATGTCAAGGAGAAGGCTGGAAACCTTTTTTCTTTGTGTTTTTGTTGTTGTTTTTCCCCTCTTTTTTTGTTCTGTCTTTTCTGTTGTCTTAATGTTTGGTGTTGTAAATTGAATTGAAACTAATAAAAATTATAAAAAAAAGAAGAAAAAAAGAGAAGGCTGGAAACCATATCTTTCTGAAATCTAGTTCTTTATAGGTATTTGGAAAGGAGGAAAATATATAACCATACCATCTTCTCAAATGGATATAATCCAGGAACAGATTGATCTGCTGTTTCTGTTAACTGGTTTGTTCATGCAGTTTAGAAAATCCTTAATTTATTATGACCTTTATCCAAACATTAACACTTCTCTATCTTATAGACTGGATTTTCAGTTGCAAGGGTAATTCCTGTCTTATTCAGGAAAGCCATAATATAACACACGGCTCTGCCGCTGTAGCCCATAATTATCGCTTTCTAGTCTTAAATTTTATATAATCTGTTTTCTGTATATGATGATTTGCAATTACCACAGTTGGTACAGATCAATCCAGCTGCAGTTAGACAATTCCAAGCAACGGCTCTCAGGTTGAATAAATAATATGCAAATGACAATAATTTCCCTTTCTATCTAATCACAAATACTCCGCATTATTTCAAATGAATATTTATTGAACTTTAATGTACATATAATTACTTTGCCACAAACTATTTAATTCTGTTGCAGAACAATCTTATATTGAAAATAATGTAGCTAGAGACTTTCTATATTTCTTTATTTCAGGTTTGTGTTTAGTTTTTAGAGTATCACCCTTGCAGCAGTATTTCTGTTCTTGATAATGTATTTGTGATTCTGAGGTTGATTGGATATTTGTAGTACAATATGCTCATTTGCATTTGACTATGTTACAAGGCTTTTGAATTAGAAAAAAATCAGTACAGTGGTACCTCGGGTTAAGAACTTAATTCGTTCTGGAGGTCTGTTCTTAACCTGAAACTGTTCTTAACCTGAAGCACCACTTTAGCTAATGGGGCCTCCCACTGCTGTGATTTCTGTTCTCATTCTGAAGCAAAGTTCTTAACCCGAGGTACTATTTCTGGGTTAGCGGAGTCTGTAACCTGAAGCATATGTAACCTGAAGCGTATAGAACCCGAGGTACCACTGTACCAAAGAAGGTTGTAAAAAATTCTGCACAAGGGTAATAAAATTTCAGTGCCAAAAAACATGCAGTTTTGTTTGTTTTGAATAATCATGCATTTATACTACATTGGGACAAGGAACTGTGTTTGCAAGTAAAGCTTACCCCATGACCATTTGCAATATCCTCTAATACCATCTGGCAATTTCAGTAGGCATTTGCTTCCATAGGTGCTAGAAATTTGCTTCTTAAGAAGGTGAAAGCTGAGATTTCAAACTGTTGCCTGTTTTTCATAGGAAGCACTAGTCACGATTCGGCTTGTTGATGTTCTTTGTGAAATGACATCAAACTCTGGACATCTGGAATGTCTGCAGGCTTGCCCTGATTTGCTTGAGGTGACTGTCAGTAAGTAAGAAGCACACACATTTTTTAAAAATGTAATAATCTAAGGAGTAATGCTTTGTATTTTACTTGAAATTCGGTTTTATAAGGAACACTTGACAGTTGTGACAACTTAAAAATAGGAAGCAGAAAACTGATAGCATGTCTTCCAATATCTATATTTGGATGAAAAAGGTATTCAAAGTTTGCTAAAGGATTAGCTAACCATCAGGTAAAACGTATAAGTTTTGGTGCTATATATGTTTATTCCAAGATATTGTGTATCTTGTATTAAAAAATTACATATATGAACCAATTTTCACACACTACTTTCTGCATGCCTCTGTACTTCACATTGTACGGAATGTGTGAAACAGAATTGAAACTTGAATGCTCCTGTGAAGTAATTTGGTAGTAAATGTTATAATACCTTGGTGTTATAGCTGGAGCTGGAGAGGAGCACAGCCAGAACATTTCAGCGGTATGCACTAGAGTTGGTTCACATTAAATTGTGGTTTGTTTTTAACTCTGATTCTACGTGACATGTGAACTAGGCTTATGAATTATAGGACTCTGTTTGATTTCTTATCTATTGTACCAGAGCAGAGGACTAAACAATAACTTCTAAAGTTGTACACTGAGCAATATTTGCTACTTTTGGTGCAAAAGAGTTTAGCAGTGAGCTTAGAGATCAATAAGTACTTTTATGAATTTTCACCCAAATAGTCCTGCTGACTAATTAAACACAGGATAGCATAGAACACTGAAACCATATGTTAATGTTGAGGGTTCCCAAACATTCTTAGCCAGCAAGTTTTAAAGTATTTATGCAGCATATTTAAATATGCTGCAAAATACATTCAACTTGATGCTTGAAATGTTGGCGAACTTCAGGAAACTGCAGTAATATGACTCATTATACTAGCCTTAATTGAACCAGTGCATTTAGAACATGAATTAGAATGTCACATACAGGAACCTGATCTTGAACAGGAATATTTTGTCTAATGTATTTTCTGTTTTTACTTTTTGGAATGATTCCCAGGATACTCTCGGAGACCTCAAATACACACACATCACCCCTCTGACCTCCCCAGGCCACCTTTCCCCTTCCTGGGTCGTGCCCAGATTCTCCTTCAGCTCTCTGTCCTTGCAAAGAGGACCATCTGCAAAGAAGTCTCCTGGGGAGACTTCTGGGACAAACTATTCCAGATTTTAGTAGTGTTTCTTTCAATAGCAGTAAGATGTAGATTGATTTCCTGTTGTAATTATATGTTAATAACTATGAAGTAAAACAACTTAAGTATCATGGGCATTATAAAGATAATTGTTTAAAAAATAAGACAGAATTATTTTCTCTCTTTAGAAACTTTGCAGCTTACACATCTTGCTGGGAAGCAGAGCACAAACATCTTCACAGTGACTCATTCTGGGCAAGAACAAAGCTGTCATCCAGCTGTGGGGTTTAAGTCACATCTAATTCGTTTGATTGGAAATTTATGTTACAAGAATAAGGCTAACCAAGACAAGGTAAGAAAAGCTAAAGACTGTAAGCAATTCGTTGTGCAGTTCATAGTACAAAAAGACATTTATATCTTAGAAATTTTGCAAAAAAAAGGCTCAAGTAAGTAATAAATATGGTATGCTGCAAGGGTGCTTTAAGTCAGTTGTAATATTTAAAATCACTTCCATTAATTCCTGGCGTTTCATGTAGGACTGCTAAAAATACCAAATTTCTACTTCTTATAGGGAGGGTAATAGCTCTGACTGTGCCCCCCTGCTGACTTTTGAGATTTCATGAGGCAGTGTCTGCAAACTTTCAAGCATAGCTTCAGAGCTGTAGGAGCTAATACTTTTGAAAACAAACATTGAAACTAATTTCAAGAAACTAATTCTGCACTAAATATAAGCCACCATTTATTTTTTATTCTCCAAGGCAAATTGGGATGGAGATGATTCATCACATATCTTTTAAAATAGATTTGATCTGTCAGCAAACTCAACCTCCATTGGGAACAGGGGTAGCATTTAGTGACTCAAATTCCCCATAGTTCAAAGGTGGGTTTATAAGCCACTGACTAGTTGAGGCTTGAGAAATCTTCAGATTGTCCTATCTCAGTTCATTAAGCGAAGAGGTGCACAGACCTTTTGCCCCCCCCCCCCCAGTCCCTTTTCTCTTCCCTTTGTGACTTGCAGGCTCTTATTAACATATTTCCTTGTTTCATCTGAATTGGGAAACTGATTAGCAGATTTGGAACAAGCCAAGGTGTTACACCACCATTTTTAGAAAGTGTTTAATTGTCCCAAACTGGTATCCATAGTTTCCTGCTTTAGATAAAATGGGAAACTATAAACTGTATATTTATTTCCTGCTTTAATTTCCTCTTACATGAATAATGGAGTGAAGGGGCTTTTTGTGCAAGAAAAATGATTGTGCATATCCTGGCTTAATAGGCTGAAATATTATCTGACCTGCGGCAGTGTAATTTTCAATTTCACTATATAGAAAAATTATTGCCATTGTGTAGGTGTTACAGCATTTAATACATTTGTAAACCAATGAAAAGAGCTCACTGAGCTGAAATAAGTGCTTTTTACAGTGGTTTTTCACTTCTTGTTGACAACTTGTGTGAGGTTGTTTTTGGTGAGGTTTGTTTCTTCATAGTTTCCCTTGGGGAAGAATAGTCATGTTTGAAATACTTGGAATTTTGTTTGGCAATAAAAAACAGGTTTTTTTTCTTACTGTGAATTTCAGTCCCCATTCCTGATAGGGATGACTCCCCCTACTGGAGACAGGGAATCTTCAGCTTGCAATGTCCTCTCTAGAGGGGAGGTGTCATCCCATCTCTCCAGGCAGAGTAGCAGAGCAGAATAACACCTCAACCCTCATGCAGCTGCCCATACGCCAGCCCCACTGCTGGAGCACAGGACACTCAGACACAAAACATGTGGTTAGACAGCAATGCAAAAGTTAATGTCGCAGAACTCCTCCCCATATCAATCTACAAATCAACCATAGCAGCCAATAAAGTAAAAAAAATATGCAATGCATAGAACCAGAGGAAGATAGAGGAGGGTGGAATGTCACCCCCCCCCAATTACGATATATGTAGGTCTGCCTCTGAAGACAGTTAATTCAACGGCCAGGTTGCTCCCCGGGGCAAGCCAATGGCACTGGGTACCAATTAGTTTCCGGACCCAATTCAAAGTGCTGGTTTTGACCTATAAAGCCTTAAACGGCTCAGGACCACAATACCTTAAGGGGCATGAGGTTCATACCTCTGTATAAATCTACTTGGACCCTAAGATCATCCTCTGAGGCTCTTCTTCGTGTGCCTCCTCCACAAGAGGTCCGAAGCAATCCTGGGAATTTTTTTGAACTAAGGAAGGCCTCAGAATCAGAGGGGGTTTCCCCCTTACTCATGCTCACCTGCTCTGGCAAAGAACCTGGAGAATCGCCAAAGGCAGCTTGCCTGGACTCTCCAAATGCATAGATCTCCTCTGTGCCAACATCGCAAGGAGAAAGGCTGCCCTGCAGAGGCGCAGTCATCCTGTGCACAGATGCAGAGAAGAGGTGGGAAAAGCAATGCAACTGAGCACACTGCAGCAGCTCCTCAAACTCCCAGTTAGCACTGGGACCCAAAGGTGCAGTGATAATGCAGCCAGTCGAAACTGCTAGACCAACAGGTTCAGCAATCACGTCTCTAGGAGCTGCTGGGGCCATCCCAGAAACGCTGAGTTGCTGAAACAAAATGGCGTTCCTGCTTTTTTTAGAAAGAGGCAGGAAACGCAAGCTCCTGGCCCTGTGTCGCCTCTGTGGAGTCCTCCTGTGCCTGTTGGCAATCCATTCAGAATCCAGCTGCTCCCTACAGTCTCCCCAGAGTACAGGATGGGGGAGAAAAACAAAGAGAATGAAGTAGAAATGAATAAGCTGGGGGAGGCAGCCAACAGGAAAACAGAGTGAAAAAACTCACTCAGAAAGATGATATAGCAAACAGGACGAAGGAGAGGACTAGACAAAGGGGAAATCCACACAAAACAAGCACTCAGGCAAGTGTTTGTCTTCACACACAGAGAGAGACACAAAGACCCAGCCATCACTTGAGCAGGCAGGGTCACTGGGAGAGAAGGGGGTTGACTCCTCCCCTCTGGAGAGGACCTTGCAAACTGAAGACCCTGCCTGTCTCCAGTAGGGGGAATCCTCCTCTTTCAGGAATAGAAGCACCCCCCTACATCTGATGAACATGCTTGGCACCTTCTGCCTTACATATATGCTGACTTTATTCTAAGGTCTTACAAGAAATGGCATGCAGTCAGTGGCTAAGTGGCTGTGCCAGGATATCCCCCTGCCCTGATCCAACATGGGAGTTGCCCGTGTGATGTGCACAAGCCACATTTTCTGTGTTTTTATCCATTGCTGCTATGTGGGAGCAAATCACAAGGAAGCAGTTTTGTGGCAGCATATATAGCAATGGTAATGTGTAAATTGGTCCAAAGCTGTGTGTGTTTTAAAAAGTCTGAATACAGAATGGATGTAAGAAAAAAACTTGGATTTTTAACCAACTAATACTTGCTTAAAAGATTCATTTGTAATTGTGAGACTAGAGAATAGGTGAGTTTTAATAAGGACATATCTTTCGACAACTTTTAATATGTTTGAAGGGGAATCTTGCTGAATTAACAGTGATACTTTGTAGGTGAGGAGGGGATTGCTGTACAATGTCTCCATTCTTATTCAGGAAGATGCAGGGGGTTGTGATGGACACATGGTCAATTGTAAAACAAGCTGTCCAGCTAGATTTCAGTTCTCTTGCCTCATTTAATTTCTGGATGTATAAGTACTGAGGAAACTAAAGGCTGAACAAATGTTGATTTAAATTGAAACTTTTAGAGAGTGGAGTCTCAAAGACGTGAAGAAAATGGACATAATTATACTGATAATGTTGTTATAGGATCTTTTAATTTGCCAGTGGGGTTTGTATTTGCCTGGAGTAATTGTTCTCAAAATCAACCTATGAAAGGGGGGGAGAGGTGAAACTATTAAATCCTCTTGGATTATCTCATACAGTACTAACAATTGTTAAGTGAAAGGTTGAACTGTCAAACACACCCTGTAAACAATTTCTGTAATCACCATCATCATCTTCATTATCATCATCACAGTAAAATCCACTTCAGCACTCATTCTGTAAGGGTGACTTATGTGTGTAAGCATACAGATACAAATGTTTATCGCTGGTCCCTTTGCATAGGCTCACCTGGGTCCCTCTGAACAGGTCAGGTGTGCCTTTTTGGAAATACCCATTCCCATCCATGTCCGCTAGTAGCACACATCTGTAGCAGGATCAGGAATGATTTTCTTTTTTGTCTGTATTGCCTAATTAAGGAATCAGTGAAACCTACCAGTGAAGGAACTGCTTCCTCACATGGGGTTTGCTAGCTAATGCTTTGCATGCACAGAATGATATGTTGTGGAGCAACAGGGCCTTCCTCAATGTTCAGAAATGTGTTGAATGATGTTCACCTTGATTTAGATGTCTCATGGCTGGGTGGTGGTGGAGGGCCGTGATAAGGGCAGCATTGTACATGTAAGAAGTATTTCAGGCAAGGGTTTTTTTTCAACTGGAACTCACTAGAACTCAGTTCCTGCACCTATCAGGTGGGTGCCATTGCCATTCTCAGAGAATGAGGGAGGCATTCATGTTCAGTTCCTCTTTTTCTAGAAAAATAGCACTGATTTCAGGCATATTTCCAGCAAAGATGTGTGCAAGAGGTCACTTGGGCCATAGGGAAGAGGAGGATTGCAGTCCCAGATAAACTGTTTGATGGTTTTTCTTTTGGTCCATTTTTGATTGGCATCCACAAACTGGGTTTAATCAGTAGAGGAGGTGGACGCTGAACATAGTCTGCAAACACTGTATCCCTCTTGGCACCAGGGCTAGGTAGATCTGGATGTACACAACTAAAAAGTGAAATGGTTTTTAAGTGAAATATTTTTAAAGGTTTCCATTAAATCAGTTTCTAGATTAGTTAGGGCAAGTAATTGGTAGAAATATACTGTATTTCTTTCTCTGATTTTGAAAAATCAGTGCTGTTTCACACACTGCAGGGTTTTATTGTTTTGGTTTTTGCTAGGCTGCCAGGTTTTTAGAGAAAGCAAACACACCATGAAACCTGGGTAGCTTTAACTTTGACATTAAAAAGTGGCATGTAATCTAGTGATAGTTTGCTTCATGTGTTGCCCTGTTCAGAAACGCTTGAGGCTCCAGTCATCTCTATACTGTAATGCTTAAGTACTACAACATTGCATACCTTGGTTATTGTATATTCTTTGTTGTAAATATATAGATTTCATAGATGCATAAATCACAAAAGTAAGTTACAGGTTTATACAAACATATTAAACATATTAAAGCCTGACCAATATGTATATGCTACTTAAGTAAGATCCATTCATCTTGGAGGACCAAGAAGCTATTTCCCTTCATATAGTTCAGGTCTCTCTTTTTTTGGTCCTCCTTTATAAAAACGATGGAAATATAAAAGCAATGCAAAAATTACTAAAGTTGCAGTCCATCAGTTTTTTTTATGAAAGGTTACCATCCAGCTGTCAAATAAGAGGTATTTTCAGCAATGACACTGCAGTTAGTGTGTGTGTGTGTGTGTGTGTGTGTGTGGATCACTTGTGGAAACTGTAATAAAGTCCAATCATAATTGCAATAGGATGTAGGGTGTGTCATTCTGGGAAGTTGCCACTACTTGGGTGGTTGTGGTGCTGAGATCTCTGCTTCAGTCTGCAAGTGAATCTTGGGAATTGCAACCTCAGCATGAGATCAGCAGAGAGAGAGAGAGAGAGAGAGAGAGAGAGAGAGAGAGAGAGAAATCTTCTATTACATACACTCCTTACAAATACCACTTCAACTTTTCTTATCTCAACGCTATTTTAAACAAATTAAGTAAGGTGTCTGTACTGTTGATTGCATAAGTTGACCTGATTCTTATCTAAGGCACTTAAGTACTGTATGTGCTAAACACTAAAATTAAAACTAAAGGGCAGTTGACCCTTCAAAATTAGACATTCTTTTCTCAAATATTTTATATAGAATTATATTGTTCTGCTTTATAAGTAATGATTTTTCTACATTGAAAATCTTTTTGACTCCGTAGAAGAATTATCATGTATAACAGAGAGTTCTTAGAAACTATGCTACTCAAGTTTAGGTTCAGCATAATTCTGCTTTCATGGCTATATTTAAATAACACTTTAAAGACCCTTCCCCTCTGCAGGGAGGTGGGACCGATTCGGATGGTCCGCCCACGCCACTTAATGGATCCAAATGGTTTCCAGAGAGTGGTAGGGGATGCTTTATCCCATGTTGATGGCCTTTCAGCTGATTCTCTGGTGGTCCGCTGGAATGCGGAGTTAACCAGGGCTATTGACTGTTTGGCTTCAAAGCGCCCTCTCTGATTGCATGGGGCCCGGCAGCCCCGTGGTTTTCCACGGATCTGAGGGCAATGAAACAATCGCTGAGATGGCTAGAGCGCCGGTGGCAGATAACTCATTCTGAAGCTGACCGGACATGGGTTAGAGCTCAATGTCGAGCCTACCAAGTGGTGGTAGCGACGGCGAAAAAGACTTTCTTCACCGCCTCTATTGCATCTGCAGAAAACAGCAGCAGGAGATTCTTTCAGGCGGTTCGCAATTTAGCAGAACCACCTACTACTACATCCTGCAGTGATTTTGAATATATATTTTTTGCAGATAAAGTCGCTCAGATTCAGGAAGAGATAGACTCCACCGTGGGAGCAGGGCCGGAGCGGGATAGTGCTAGAGTCCTGTCTAGTCAAGTTACGTGGGATCAGTTCCAGTCTGTTACCTCCAAGGATGTGGACAGGCTGCTTGGACGAGTGAAACCAACCACCTGTCTCCTTGATCCTTGCCCATCCTGGCTTATAAAAGCTAGCCAGGGAGGGCTGGGTGATGGGCTTCACAGGGTGGTGAATGCTTCTCTCTGTGAGGGAGCCTTCCTAGACCCACTGAAAGAGGCGGTTATCAAACCGCTTCTTAAAGAAACCATCTTTAGATGTGGCCAATATGGCCAGCTATCACCCAGTCTCAAATCTTCCATTCTTGGGCAAGGTGATTGAGTGGGTGGTTGCTGAACAACTCCAGGCACGCCTGGAAGAAGCGGACCATTTGGATCCCTTACAGTTGGGATTCAGGCCTCATCATGGGACTGAAACTGCCTTGGTTGCACTGGTTGATGATCTCCGGCGGGCTAGGGACAAAGGTGAGAGCTGTTTCCTAGTTCTGCTGGATCTCTCAGCGGCCTTTGACACCATCGACCAAAACATCCTTCTGGACCGTCTAGAGGGGCTGGGAGCTGAGAGCACTGTTATACCGTAGTTCTGCTCCATCCTCCTGGGCCGTGTTCAGAAAGTGGTGGTGGGGGATGAGTGTTCAGACCCCTGGGTTCTCACTTGTGGGGTGCCTCTGAGGTCCTGTGCTGAGGGCCTTCTGGCGGTTCACTCGCTGCGAGAAGCCAAGTTACAGGGAACCAGGCAGAGGGCCTTCTTGGTAGTGGCACCCGCCCTGTGGTACGCCCTCCCACCAGATGTCAAAGAGAAAAACAACTATCAGACTTTTAGAAGACATCTGAAGGCAGCCCTGTTTAGGGAAACTTTTAATGTTTAATAGACTATTGTATTTTAATATTCTGTTGGAAGCCGCCCAGAGTGGCTGGGGCAGGGTATAAATAATAAATTATTATTATTATTATTATTATTATTATTATTATTATTATTCGTGGAATGGTAGGTTCTTACATTCTCATTACAAAACATTTGAAGCTGTGTGAAGAGCAAGTTCTTTTTTCAAATAAGAAAATTAAATATGAAATGATGTAAACAAAATAATACAAAACTGTAAGGTGCATATAGTTCAAGAGCACATCTTTTTTTCTTTGTTTGTGAATGTAGCCTGAGAAGTCACTTCTCCAGTCTCTTATTGCCAACATTACAGATGATAATGCTGACTCCCCCCAAAAAAATTGAAATGTATTTTTAATGCATGAATGTATGTATCTCATTGTATTATTTTTCATAGTATAAGAAATAACACTTATTCCACACAGTGAAATATTATTCAGGTAGGTCTCGCTGTAACCAACAGCTGCTTTCCCCAGCTAACAGGACAGTAACTTACCCTGCTGAACTTCAGTCCTTTAGTGGCTCAGATAACTGGAAGGCCAACACGTGCTTTGTGTCAGGGTTTGCTACCCTGTAAGCTGTGCTGCACCCCTGATTTCCAGTGTTCATGTTCAGTTACTGTGCTGCAGTAATAATGCTCATCACAGTCATCTCAGATGGGGTTTGGTAGTGTTTATGCAGTCAGTAAGCTGAAGCTAGTTTTCTAAATCCACACAAGTAAATTACGTTTTCAAAAATGCTTTTTCAAAGAATGAATCAGAGCAATGTGAGAGCAAGATTAGATGTGATGTTAATTAGGTAAATGCAGTTAACATGCACATTTTCATATGCAATAGTAGCAACCAAAAGTAAGACTAAGCAACCATATAAGCTTGAGGGCAAGCAAGGTGAAAAGAAGAAGAGTGAAATTATGAATTATGCTGAAGTACATGAATAAAAATCAATAAAAATACATAGCTAACTGAGGTTCTCCCCCCCCCCCACCAAAAATCCTGGCTATGCCAATGCTGAAGTAGTAGAGGGAAAGATGGGCAGTAGATTGAGATTAAGGAATGGGGGAAGTTAGTAATAAGAAAAAGAAGGGTGTCCTCAATATTCTCAATGAGTGTGAACTCACTTTCTAGCTTTGTTTTGAGTGTATTGAGCTCTGTTTAACTTAATGACATGGGAATATTTTACATAAGTACAGTCAGCTTAAATTTCAGTGGGATATCTGTTGTAAGACATTAATACAATTGTGTCACTAGACAGCCACTTTTATTGAATGACACTTTAAATATATATAGACTTCGCAGGGAAAAGGTCAAAATTCTCGTTACATTTGCAGGAGGGAAAAAGTTTTCCCCTCATATGTGTATATTTAAATGTTTCATAGTGTCAGTAGAGCAACACAATTTTTAAGTATGGTAGAGGCAATGATCATAGTTTTGCTTTCAATGGGTGGGCTTGGGGCTTCCTGCTGTGGCTGGGAAAGAATCTCTGCTACTTACGCCATCCATCTCGTATGGGACGTATATGTCACATCAGAGCCTTTGCCGTTCCAGCATATGTATGTCCTGGGAAAAAGAGCCACAAGTATTTCAGCAGTTTTGCAGGATGTGGTAGCTTCCAATAATAGACTTGTTTGCCACAAGCCACAGTGCCATATATTATAAGCCAACATGCCTGTACCCTAAGCTCTGAGATCTTTAAACAGCAGGGAATAAATGCCCCATCTTTCTTTGGGTTAGACATGAATTTCCACCTTGCCTTTGTGTGGGGACAATACCCCACATATAAAGGTAACGACAGCAAGTTGCGCATCTCTAAAGTCTAACAGGCTAACTGGAAGCTGCTGTGGCTCATTGGATGTCCAGGCTGGTTCACTTGGCATGAAAAACTGGAACTGAAGTTAGAGCAGGGACTTCTGTCTTTGCAAAGTCCCTCCACCCCAAGCTCTCAGTTACAAGATCAGGCAACATTTGCAACAGGGATACAGCACAACACCTTTTTGTGGGACCCTGCTTGTCCATGTGACAGGCTTCAAGAGAGAAGCCACAGTTTATAGTTGTCTTTGTAAACCCAGGGCAGAAATCCTACAATTTTTGTCTGTTAAAGACACGTTTGTTTGTACACAGTTGTGTGCATGTACAAGTGTGCCAACGAAAGCAAGGCTTACCATTGCCTTCTTCCTTGTGCAAATGCTAAAAGGGGATTTGTTTTTTAATCAAAAGGAGCAAGGCAGTGTAAGCCCCTGATCCTTCCTCTAAGACACTATGTTGGGCGAGGCAGGTATTTCCCTCTGGCGCAGGGCTTGGGAGGGGCCTGGGCTCCCTCTTGCCCAGGCCTCCTTTCCTCTCTCTCTAGTTTGGCACGATGCGCGACTGACCAAGGCCTGAGTCAAGCAGGGAAGCCCAAGGCTGAGAGAGAGGTGCCTGCAGAAGGTCACCCAGTGAGGGCACAGATGAAGTGAAATTTAATGGAGGATTCTGGATTGGGAACTAATTCTCTAAACCACTGTAATATGTAGTGTGATTGGAAATGGGAATGGGGCGGGGAATAGTAGCTATGAGTGATATGTATATTGTGGAAGGCATTTAATGACAGCCCTGCCCTGCCCCAACCTATCGTAGGGAGGTATTGTTTTGGTTCATGATTAAGTAATAATAAGGAACGCGGGTGGCGCTGTGGTTTACACCACTGTTTCGATCCCAAGCAACCAGCAAGCTGCTTGGGCTTGCTGATCGGAAGGTCGGCAGTACGAATCTGTGCAACAGGGTAAGCTCCCATTGCTCAGTCCCAGCTCCTGCCAACCTAGCAGTTTGAAAGCACGTCAGTGCAAGTAGATAAATAGGTACCATTCCACGGGAAGGGAAACAGCGTTTCTGTGCGGTGCTCTGGTTCGCCACATCACCCGGAAAAACTGTCTGCGGAAGTGGACAAACGTCGGCTCCGTCGGCCAGTAAAGCGAGATGAGCGCCGCAATCCCAGAGTCGTTTGCATCTGGACTTAACTGTCAGGGATCCCTTTACCTTAAGTAATAATAATAATAATAAAACCATTTCACAGTAGTGAGGGTTGGGAATGGCCTTTGTTTTTTATATTAAAACTGACAGCACTGCAGATCACATGCTGAATCCTTAGACCTGTTATATGTAATGAAACGAACCCTTGTATTGTTCACTTATCATTGTTGCCCAACTCTCCATTAGAAATTGACTTACTTCTGATGTATACGTTCTGGAATGAAAACTGTCTGAATTGGTAATTACTATGTCAAAGAGAGCTTTGCACCTAGAGTTGGCATGCCTAGGCATATCCAAATGTTTTAAAAGTATATTGCTATACTGTAGGAGACTAGTTTAAATAGTGTGTTGTGATGTTTTGGATAGTTGCAAGTTTGGTTTTAGTTGTGCATGCATTGAGATTGTTTAATCTGAAATTGAGTGATTATTTAATTTCTGAACCGCTTAATATATAAAAAATATCTCTTAAGCACTGTATAGAGATAAATAAATTAAATAGGCTACAATAGAAGAACTGTTGGAATTAAAATATTTTCTAGAGTGTGTATGGCAGGGGTTTGCAACAAATATGATACTTATTCCAATTCAGATTTGACCATTTCAAAAGCAGCTTGAGTTGGCTTAGAACGCTTGAGAGGCTACCACATCAGATCCCTTCAGAAGCGAAGAATTTAACACATGCTGTGGTAATTTTGCTATCAATGCAAGGATTTTGGCTTGGCAAACAGAACGACCCTTCTCTCCCCCCCCCCCGCCTTCTCCTGTGCTCTGTTCTGGGGGTTCTCCAACCTCCCCAAGCCAGGGGAGGAGAGAAACACCATTTTGTTCGTGGAAGTCCTTGCATGGGATTCCACTAACAGAACTCATTAACTGAATCCGGCCTAAAGTATAGATGTAACACCTTGCCAAACCAGCTTCACATCGTTAGTTTTAAATATTGGATTGTGGCCAGTTGTTAGGCATTGTGTCTGAATACATACATCATAGTTAACCATGGTTCTTGCTGCATAAATATATACAAAACCTATCCATTTAGGAATGGGTTATATTTGTGTATTTTTACCCACCTAGGAGAAATATTTTATAAAATATTTTTTATTTTCTTACAGGTTTATGATCTAGATGGCATCCCATTGATCCTGGATAACTGCAGCATTGATGACAATAATCCTTGTATCCTTTCAATAACTTTCTAAATTAATAAATAATTACTCCTTCTGACGTAATTTGAGCTGGAGGTGGGGTTGTAGATGTGAATGCTTTGGGGATAATGTGTGTTGTCCTTGTGCCTCATAGTATCTTAAAACTCCCTTCTAGAGAAAACATTACTTCAGTTGTAAAGACTTCAGAGCGACATAGCACAATCCTAGCCCATTTCCCCTCAATTGGTGGCTTGTGGGTCGGTGGTCAGTAAGAAGCAACAGCCAGTTCTTCCACTGACAGTTCGACGTAGCATCAAAACAGGGTGTTGCACTGGTAGCTTGGGATCCAAAATCCCATAGAAGGGTCCTCCCCTTGGGTCATTCAGCCATTCCCAGAGCTGCAAACAAACAAAGAGCAAGGAAACTTCCCTTCAATCCTGGCTGTTGTGAGCTGGCAGGGTTTGGAATGTAGTGGTGTCCCTGCCACTCCAATCCAATGAGACCTTGACTTAGAATTATTCTGCCCAAAGGGCAATCCTATGCATAACAACTCAAAAGAAAGTCCCATTGAACCCAGTGGAACCTTTGTGGGAGTGTATATAGAATAAGCATTGGCCTATTTTAACTTCCTCTGGATTCTATCCCAGGTTGTCAGAGTTGACCGCTGACTCTAGTGTTCTGGTATACTCATTTGTTAACCTTTTACCACCAATACTAAACCTACATTATAATTTCTACTGCCTATTTTAGGAAAAATTATAGCTTGCCTCAGAAAAGGGTTATTGTCATATTTATTTTAATTTTTAATTTTTAACACAAAAAGAATAATTACACTTTTATTAAAAGGCCATCAGTTTTCATTTTGCATAACGTATTTTAAATCTTTTTCTGTGTGTTTTTTGGCTGTCTATGTTGTACTGTAATATGAGATCAGAATATCATAAAATACTATGCAAACAAGTTTGAGGGGGTAAAACACAAAACACTGAGGCTCCTTTTTTTTGGCTGGGGTAGCAAATTGACAGAGAGGTTTAAATCTTTTAACTAGATACAAAAATGGCCTCTTTTGAAGTGGCGAAACTACATTATTTTTAGTCTTAAAACAAATGGGCCTGGTTGAACATTATCTCGTGTTCTCTAACTTTCTAAATATCCCAGAATCATTGTTGTCACTTCAGATTACGGATTGTAATAGAATCTAACCAAATTTGGTCATTGTAGCTAGTCTTGAAGCTTTTGCTTCAACTGACATCTGACCAGTCAGCTGAAATGAACAGGTAGATGAGTTAGTAAGCAGCTCATCAGTTTTACATACCTTATTAAATCTGACCAGTGGAAAAAATATTTTCAACTCGTATATCTGGTATTATCTGATGAAAAAACAATAGATATTTCTGTTGTTAGGACTCGTGGAGAAATTCCAGTGGAACCACCACTAAGAAAGATGGCTGTTGGTTATTAAACTTTGTTAAAGAAGGTTGTTTTTGAAAGTGAGTATGCAGTAAATAATTAATCTGCCTTGTAAATATTGTGTGTAATATTTAATTATTATGACTAGCCAGTAAAGCCCTCAGCCTAGCATCCATTGTATTCTTCAAAATTATATCACAAAAATTTAGGTTTAATCCCAGAATAAAAGGGAAGGGAAAATTAACAGTAAGAGACAATCATGGGCATGAAAGAAATGGAGGAAATAAGCAAAATCATCCTGAGAAATCTCATGAGTCTTATTGACTTCCTTCAGAATTCTTTGGTTGTTCATCTGAATGCTCCACTTGAAATTTATCTCAAATGTTGCTTAAAGTGAAATCTGGGGACTACTCAGAAGTGAGTTTTTTCAAAATTCTTACGCAGTTCCTTGAAAAATCTTCAACTTTTTACATATGAGAGTTCCCAAAATTTGTTTTGGGTTTAGCTTTGGACAGAATTCTTGTGGCAACTTTAGAGAGGTTTAACTGCTCTTCAGATGCTACAAGGATGGATAATACTTTGTGGTATTGGTTACATAGTGTGGTACTACCAGTATGGCTTGTGAATAAATTCTAATGATGGAATAAAAGGAGAAGCACCATCTTTGTATGAATTAGAATATTATTTCTTATCTCTGCCTTTCTCACACATGCATATACATATACGTATATGTATGCACCCACACACTTTTGTTAATATTTAACATTTCAAACGGATTCATAGTCCTACATCATTGTGAATTCTGTTATTGCAATATATGCCGTAGATACCGAATATTTTTTCTATGGGTAGCTTCTTTCAGATGCCCAACAGGCCTCAGCCAGAAATCCGTGTTTAGTGCAGGCAGCAACCATTTTGCATGCATTCAGTTGGAGGGGGCAGGGTGGAACAGGCTTATGCCTTACCACTGACGTTTGCAATAACCTGGAACGCAGCCCCTTGCAAACGGGGGGTTGCCTGTACCGTCAGTCCCATGCTATGGAACCCTCTTCCAGCAGAGATATGGCAGGCTTTTCTTGACTTCCAGATGTCTCTGGAATCCTTTTTTTTTCTTCTGACAGGCCTATGCAGTTGTTTAAAACCTTTTGACTAGCCTGTCATTTTATTTCTATTTTTCATGGATTTATATTTTATTATACACATATTGTTGTACACCACCTTGATTTTTTTGTTGTTGAGAGGGTAGTGTATATAAATGCATTTATAAATAAGTAATGACAAATCTCCCAGCTTTCTACATATGGCAGCAATTGAGGCTAGTGGCTAAACTATCCAACTTTCTGACCAAAGGCACTGAGCTGAATTCAGTTTGAATACTATGAGGGCTACAAATTATATGAATTTGCCTCAGAGTGCAAAGGAAGTTTTCAGTTGAGTTAGAAAGTGAGCCCTACTCTCCTTCAGTGCAGTGTTTATTCCACCAGTTCATCCCAGTCTGTCTGTTAAATGTTGGTAAAACTTTAAATGCAATGCATTTTTAAAATATTTCATTTATGTTGCAACCAGCTTACTCCCAAATGGATTACCTCTTCTAAAAAGAAAACTCCTCCAGCATTAGAAGGGAGAAACAGGGGCCATTTACTGTAGAGTAGTCCCATAGGAGTCCCTGGAACTACTTTAGAGCAGATAATTACAGGCGTGTAGTCTGAGTGATCTTGTATTCAGTTCTTGTGTTAGGTAGTGAGAAAAGGTTCTGATGATAATATGCCATTTAACGTTTGATGAAAATAAGTGGCTCTTTGACTCCAAAGACCTTTATAGTGAAGCTTCTGTGTTATGTTAACATCAGCTTGGCAAGTCCTCTTGCGACCAAAATGTCGGTAATATTTGGAGAGGAAAAAGCAGGGCTGCCTTTCTGGGTGATCATTCAACTGGCTACTTAGGAGACAAAATTGGCATCGTTTGTGAAAGGAAAACCTGTGGTTTCTCTTATGCTCTCCTATTGCAATGGCGGTGGTTGATCCACACATACAGACCCTTTAGTTTGGATAAAATACTGAAAATATAAATGCGAGCTAATTTTTACATATACCCATTTGAAGAACATTTTCTGTCATTATATTCAGTCTGACAGTCATCTCAGAGGTAGATTCAAAATACTTTTGACCTCATGGCAACGGTTAGTATAATTGTGGTTTATGAAACCTCAGGTTAAATCTAGGAGAAATCAAGTTGCTATGGTCTATAACAATGGCAGTTTGTTTTGTGTCATGCCAGGAAAGACTTTCTTGGGGAAACCGATGAGCATTTCATATTTAAAAGTGTAGCTTGAGACGGGCCTCATGCTGTGAAAACAATCCATGCTGCTGAGGAGAGCAAAAAACAGGGATGTGATTAAGTTCCGAAGGAGTGAACTACAGTAGCTACCACAAAACAGACAACTAATAGAATACAGTAGCTTTAAAATGGTGATCAAATATGAATTACAAGTACTTTTATTTGACAACAGCTATGTTTTCATAGATTTGTACCCATTGGGGGGGAAATATTCATTTGTTTATATTGTTTCTTACAAATTATAATGTAAATAACAAAAATAATACATTTGATGTAATATGGTGCATCTGCAAGACACAAACTGGCTCTTTGCTGAGGAAGGCAAAATAAATGGGGATAGTTTTAGCTTTCACATTGGGATTTTAAGCCAAGCATGCACAGTTTTCAACTCTCAAAACCAAACAGAGTACACACCAGCCCCACCAGGGGCTTATGAAACCTTTTCCGTTTGCTGCCTATCTGGGATTGCAAAAGCAGCAGTGTTGCTAAGACCCTGGCAAGCCACAATTCACTTCTATGGGCTGCATATGGTTTGTGGGTTGGAAACCTAGTAGGCTTGTTCATAACTCAGTTAAGAACCATTCTAGTATTAATTTTTGAATATTTGAGTACCATTGTGGTTCCCCCACCCAGAAAGTATTTTGCTGCCCCCCCAGTCCCCCAATAAAAAAATAGTTAAGAATCCCAAACTTGTGGCACATTTTGTAAACACCCATTATTCTAGATTCTTTCCAAGATATTGGGACCATTGCCTTCTTAGAATGCTGTTAAACAACCTGCCCATATGGGGATCAATGTTTCAGAAAAAAATTCTTATAAAAGATACCTGGCAGAACATCTATACCATGTTTGCCATTTCTTGATATTGAATTACTTATTATTTTTTATTTGTATATTTGCATACTTTCATAACATTGGTGTGTATTGTAGTGCTAAAATGGAAGGAATTGTGAGAATCTACAATTTATTTTAATAAAACCCTACACTATCATTAAAAGAAAAGCCCTCTTAATATTTTCATTTCTTTTACTATCACCTGCCCTAATGGTAAAGTTGGTGCACCCACGCTCATTGGTTTGGAACCAAAACGGGAGCACTGAGAAGCAAGGTGAGAGCACCAAGATTTTCAGAAATACAAAAAGTAAATCCCCACATCCTGCAACAGCCAAATGTGGACAGAGCCTGCTTGTTGTAACACTAGCACTTACAGAATGTTCCATGTTAGTTGGAAAGGGGAAACGGGTGGAGAGGGAATTGATTTGTGTGCGAATCCCTAACACTGTGGTTCTCAAAAGGTGCACCACCACCACACTGGCGCAACAGGAGAGGATGTGGCAGGAAGATTCAGGGACAATCAAAGAAACATTAAAGCATTTCAGTGTATCGTATCGTATTGTATCAAAATGTGTTTTATTTATTTGCAGGATGTGGATAGATATGTTTTCAAAATGAAAGCAAGAGCATGTGCTATTCTTCTACTGTTCTCCATGACCTATTGTTGTGAACAGGAATTGTTCTTAGGTAGCTTCCTAGATGTCCCATGATCATATTCTAAGGCAGCTGTGTTCTGTGTTTTGTTTTCCAATGTATATCTTATCAATTAAAAATTCATTGTGGCACGAGCAGATTTTTATTCTGAAAGTGTAGCCCAAAGGAAAAAGTTTGGAAGCCACGGTCCTAACAGGTCACGGCTGCAACAGGGAGCGAGGAATCGTCAGCCACATTTTGCTGTAGGTCCCACTAGAACCGAAATATTGTTTGTTAACAATTTTTGCCCAGCTGGCATGTTTATGTAGGTGGTAGAGAGAGTTAATGACAGATAAATAAATTAAAGTGACATTTCACAACTCTGCATATTTCTGGATAAAGCAACTGAGTGTAAAATTCATTGTTGCATGTTGTATCACATTCAGTTATTCTGATTCCATGGATTTTCATGACAGTGTTTAAACACTGACAATTAATTGCATATGTTCCCATCTGGAGATAGATATATAATAACTCTTAAAACTGAATATCTTAGGCATGGAATGTTTTTGGCTTTATATTGTCCAAGAGTGTGATTTTTTTCTTCTTCTCCTTTTTTAAACCCAAAGGATTTTTAGTTGCATATAAATTATAGGTTTCTATTAAAAACGTCACTTAAAAATATGGGCCGCCTCTGTAGCAAGAATGTATGTGCCACATACAAGCTAGCATTATACATTTGAATTTGGTGCCTGCTTTTATTTTACAAAAAGTTTTATTTTCTAAAAGTAGGCATTTATAAATTTGACAGACTTTCAAAGAAAGCCTAATAGGTGCCTTACTTATGAGCTTTAAAATACTTAATTGTCCTAAGGTGTAATAATGAAACTCCTTCCATTTTTTAAAATAATAATAATAATCACAAGTCACTGCTTTGAGCTGACATTCTGCTTTTGAAGCACATGATATAAGAGCGCCTGCCTTAGGAGATTGCGCTTCTTATGCTTTGTCATAGTAAGCTGCCTTAGGTGAAGATTAAAAGCCTTAAAAACACTAAGGCGCTCCAAAGCACTTTTAAATGTAATGTGCCCCCCATCTCCAGTTGTACCAACTTTCAGGTTGCATTTGTGTCCCCTCCTTTACCTGTTTATATTCAATACACTTGTGGCAGCTCTACATAACTATGATTATGCCAAATGCTGTCGTTGTACCCACCTTGTAGTTCGGTGACTCTGTGATTCGAGGCAAAATAGGATTTTTTTTTTGCTGTGGAATGAAAAAAGGAGAGAAAGAACAAGGAAACCAGGAGGGCCAACCTGCTGACGAGTTCTGAGTTTTGGGGAGGTATAAGTTTGGGGTAGTTATTTAATGGTGAGGCAAAAGCACTCTGTGCAAGCTTGGAAGTACTTCTCTCCTTAGGCTGAGTTCTTGTGAGGTCACAACACATAATTAAGTCATAGGGAGGAAGAGACAAAGACTGGTGGGGGGAGTTGTAGCAATAACAGGCGCAACCTTTTATTGGGTGAAGAATTCCTGGAAGACGGAAAATAAATGGGTCATGTGGAGATCCACTCCATGTGCGCTCTGGCTGTCATTTGCTTGCAGTGGAGGTCAGTTCAGTGCATATTTCCTTTATTTTTAAAGAGCTTGGGCTTTAATCTGTGTGGGAGACGGGCATCACTCTGTCAGCTTTTCTTCTTAATTTTCCATGTCTGGGGAGGGTACATTCTCTTTTATCAATATGTCTTCGCACTCTTCAGCCACAAAATGGAGTCCATGTCCTCTATTTTTTTTTTAATTAATATTTATTAAGTTTTCAAAGAATAACAACAAAAATTTCCAAAAAAATTGAAAATACAAAAAGCAAAAACGATAAAGAAATAAAAAAGAAAAAAACCAACCATAAAGAAAAAAAGAAAAAAGAAAAACAAAAGAATATAATCATTTACGATCTCTATTAACTTCCTTTCTAGACTTCCTCCTCCTCCCTCTCTTGTTTCTTAATTTTTAATTTTTACAGCAAATCCTTTCTGTTTTTTCATAACATTCTATCATTACATTTCCTTATTCTATTTTCCCTCTTGTCATATAAAAACTTTAAAACTCAAAGCTTATATTCAGTATTTACCAAATTCTTACATCATTACCTTTTTGCAAATCATTTACCAATCCTTACTTAAGCCATATAGTTTCATTCAACATCTTTCAAACATTTATGAACGTTCCCAATATTGAAAAATAGAAAAATAAAATAAGATAATAAGTCAGACACAATCCAGTCAACTTCCAGCGCCCTCCCCTGGACCCGGGATTGTCAGTCCTTTTAACCTCAATAGTCCGGCTCCTTAACCTGGTTGTCTCGTGTCCGAGGCCCTCAAATCTCTTTCTTGCCCCTTTCGCAGCTCTTCTTGATGTTTCCCTTTCAGTCGTGGGTACTCCAGCAGAAAGATACTTTTGACCCTTTGCAACAAGTCCATCCCATGCCCATTGTCCAAGCCAGACAGCAGATAATACCACTTCAAGTTTCCTTGAAACTTGGAGGCTCCGACTACTCCAATCCTCTGATGGCCCATCACCAGACTCGGAAAGTCCAGATAACCATATAAAGGGGGGTCAATCCATCCCCCATTTCCAAATCTAACCACATTTCATCTTTCCGAATCTGATTTATCCCAAGTTCATTTATCAAGTTCAAAGGCTGATCCTGCCGGTCCAAAGGTCCCTCCATCTCTGAAGCCTCCATCACTACAGCAGGTTCATATACTTGTAGATATTTTAACTGAGTTCCATTTACTTGCTGCTGTGCTCTGGTAACTTCCGTCATCAAGGTCGTCTCCTGACGCATCTGGTCCAGCTGGGCACTTAGTTTTGAAAAACCTTCCAGGAACATTTGTTCAAGCCTTTGTACAAGCATTGTCCTTCAGGGTCAAAGAAAATTCTTTCCCACGATTATAGTCCTTCACTTTTAAGCTCTCTGCGTTGCAGTTTCACTAAATCCCACTAGAGGGAAAACCTTTTTTTTTCCTTTTTTTTTATAACGGAGAAAATCATCAGCAACAGTCTTTCTTTTCCAGATACACTTTATCCAAAGTTCCCCCTTCAAAATTCAAGAGGCAACAGTAGAGTCACAATGTTACCTTTCTTTTAACTATCTGTCGAGCTGGACAAGCTTCAAGACGTCAGTTCTGACAGCCCGCTCCTGGTTCAGGGCGGTGGAAAATTACTTTGTTTTAAACTCACTTCCGCAGGGTTATAAAGTCCAAAACAACCCCTTCTGCTCCTGCAGTCAAAGGGGGGGTTCAGAAATCTTAGGTGTTGAATTCTAGTTCTCTCAGAATTTAATTTTCAAGCTTTAGTATATTTTGTCTTTGCTTTCTTCACGTAACAAAAGAACGGAAGGTTGACTTCCTGCTTAGACCTTCTCATTCCAAGTCCCAATTAAATTCAATTTCAAGTCCAATTTATTTATTTATTCACCAGTCTTAAAAGTAATTCAGCTCTTCCAAGATCAGGTACTCACGGATAGATGTTTTAGATGCCAAATTGTCCCAGGAAAAAGGCAGCGCTCTCCGGAAACGGCAGTGCGGCTTTGCTGCACGAAAGAAGCAGTCGACTCACAGCACCACGCACCTCCCACTCCGGAGCCCGTTACCGGGCTCCTGTACAAGGGGAGAGAGCGCTCACGGTGCCCGCTGAGTCCCACGTCCACAGGCTTCATCCGCCTGTGGGTTTTAAGGGTCCCCGCTGCGCCGTAGCGGTAGGACCCAAGCTTCCGTGCAGCGGGTTCCCTTCAACTTGAAGGGAATTCCGCCATTTTCCGGAGGCGCCACCCCGGAAGTCCGGAGTCCATGTCCTCTAAATAGGGAGGGATCGAGCAGTCTAATTCTGCAACAGTTTCGGTTTCACTGGTGCTCAGAGGTCTGTCCTGTTCGTTCTCTCTCTCTCTCTCTCTCTCTCTCTCTCTCTCTCTGTGTGTGTGTGTGTTTAAAGAAGGCATTAAAACCCCGCCTTTAAATTGTATGGATTTTACACATATTTTTATATAAAATTTGCATTTTTCTTTTTTTTAAAAAAATGATATTTATTAAAGTTTCAGATAAAAAGAGACACATCGATAAAAAAGAATTTAACAATAAAAAGAAAAATGCACAATACAAGATACAAAAATAAAAAGAAAAAAGAAAAAACAGTTAAAAACAATTCCATCTTTTCATCACTACTTTTGAATTTACTTATTTTCTGGACCTCCTCATACCTCCCTCTTTTGTATTCCAATTCAGTTTATTTGTCCAGCAATTCCTTTCCCTCTTTTTTTAATCCCAATCCTTAATCTTAATATAGTATAACATTAAATTTTTATCTATTAATAGCCAATTTTCCATTCTTTTAACCTTTTTATTCCTAATCCTTAATCTTAATCTATATATAACTTTAAAGCCTGTGCAGCTAGAAACCATTTAATTTCAATCCAACATCACTCTAACATTCATTAATTTTGCAATATTTCTGTAAATAATCTTTGAATTTCTTCCAATCTTCTTCCACCAACTCTTCTCCCTGGTCACGGATTCTGCCAGTCATTTCCGCCAGTTCCATATAGTCCATCAGTTTCATCTGCCATTCCTCCAGCGTGGGAAGCTCTTGTGTCTTCCAATACTTTGCAATGAGTATTCTTGCTGCTGTTGTTGTGTACATAAAGAAAGTTCTATCCTTTTTTAACACCGTTTGGCCGATTATGCCCAGGAGAAAGGCCTCTGGTTTCTTCAGGAAGGTATATTTAAATACCTTTTTTAATTCATTATATATCATTTCCCAGAAAGCCTTAATCTTTGGGCACGTCCACCAAAGGTGAAAAAATGTACCTTCAGTTTCTTTACATTTCCAATTTTTTTTTTGCATTTTTCAATTATTTTCAATGCATTTCCCCATTAAACTATGCATTTTGTGCATTCTATTTACATAAAATGTGGATTTCTGTACACATTTAGTAAACACCGAAACCACATCACAAAATCTGGCAAACTGTGCAATCTGACTGCGAAGTTGTATTCTGATCTTTAGGCAAGTTCCGGCTTGTTGCATTGGGTCAGTCTGCTGTTTAAAGCAGGCCTAATTAATTCCTTCTCCATCCCTACCTCTAAAGGAGTTGTGGATATAAGAGTTGTGACGCTTTCCAACTTGCCATGTTGTGTGTGGCTAAGTCTCAGTTCACCTTCATCACCTGAAGCCATTTGCTTGCATAAACTTTCAGTTCCTGTTTCAATAGGAGCATTTATTATTGTTGTTGTTGCCCAGTGGGCCACAGCCATTGGGGTGCTGGAGTCTGCCCCTGCCCCACCCACTTATAAAAGTGCCCTGGGGGGTAGGGGATGCCATACACCCCCTCACTGGTGGTGGTATCAGGTGCTGGATTGAGCTGTTTTTGGGACTTCCTTAACCCTTGCAATATTATGAAGATTTCATTTCCCTTCACAGATGTATACAATCGGGTCATGTTGACTGGACATTACATCAGCCCTGCTGAGTGTGAAACTAATGGGCAAATGAATGTCCCAAAATTTGTGCTCGCTAAGGAAAACAGGGCGGGGCAGCATTTGTAGGACAAAATCAGTGGAAGAGGGTGGAAGCTTGATCCTAACGGCACCCACTGGTTCTCCTAGGTTACTTTAAGTCATAGAATCATAGAGCTGGAAGGGATCCCAGGGGTCATCTGGCCCAACCCCCTGCAAGGCAGGAATCTCAATGAGATCATACCTGGCAGGTGCCCATCCAAGCTCTGCTTCTAAACCGCCAAGGAAGGAGAGTCCACTACCTCTCATGGGAGTCTGTGCTACTATCAAGCAGCTATTACTGTCAGAAGGTTCTTCCTGTTTTTTTGTGGAAATCTCCTTTCTTACACAGTGGTACCTCGGGTTAAGAACTTAATTCATTCTGGAGGTCTGTTCTTAACCTGAAACTGTTCTTAACCTGAAGCACCACTTTAGCTAATGGGGCCTCCCACTGCTGCCGTGCCGCCGGAGCACGATTTCTGTTCTCATCCTGAAGCAAAGTTCTTAACCTGAGGCACTATTTCTGGGTTAGCAGAGTCTATAAGCTGAAGCGTATGTAAGCTGAAGCATATGTAACCCGAGGTACCACTGTAACTCCATTGGTTCAGGTCCTACACTCTGGAGCAGGAAAAAACGAGCCGTCCTTGGAGTCCAGCTGTGAGAAAAATGATTTGGGGAGAATTTCAAGGGGAACAGCAGGCAGTTAACTACCCTTTGCCAGTCTACACTTTTGTACTGGAGCCAAACTGTATCTCACACTTTTTAAATTAAAGGTATAGTTAATACCAGCTCTTATTTTAAAGGAAGAGTGGCCATGTGGGGGCATTGGTTAAGTTTTCCACCAACCCCCTCCCTGGGTGCTATTTGTGCTAGATCCTGCAGTGTGAACTTTGAAGAGCACAAAATTTTCAGTGGGAAACTAGCACAAGATCTCAGTCTGGATGGGGGAACTGCATATTTGCCTGATAAGCTGCAGTTCTTTCAGAAAACACAAACACTTGCACGTGCGCGCACACAGGAGCTCTCTTTTTTCAACTGAGTGTTTAGGAAAGGGGTGATCTTTAGTGCTTTATAGGCTGAGATTGGGAATGCAATGGAAGGGTTGTGCAAAATCTGAGAGAAAATCTAATTGAAATCAGTAAGACTTGGCATCAAAATGTAAAATATGTAAAATTGTAATTGAAGACACAGAACTGAACTAATTTATGGGGGGGGGGGCTTTCCTATATTTTTTCATAGGAGATCCAAGTGATTACCTTGTCATATGATTAACATAATTCTGCATACTGCAGTGCTATGCATTTGTATGGTTTTCTAGAAATGTAAAGCAAACCTGCAAAACTGGGTTTACTGTGATTGCTGTGTTTTGTTTTATTTTGTGAGGTTTGGCAACAAATGGACTCATGCTCCTATTTGTAGTAACTATGGAAACTTTAGAAGCACTCTCTTTCTAAGGCTGATTATACAATAAAGTGCTTAAAGTGTTGGTCGGATTATGGACTTCAGAATATGTTCAATTTTCTATCTGTCTTTTGGGTAAGAACAAGAGGGTAATGTGAATATTAATTGGGGACTCGCTTTAATCTCTCGTGACACTTAAGTCTGTATAGGTCTGCATCCAGCCATCCAGAAGTCTCAGGCTCACTCAGCATGTTAAGAGCAATCATACATATTCATGACTCTCCATTGCAAGAGTGCACTAGGGAAGGAGAAAGCTGTGAGCAGGCTACAGCACACAAACCTTCCCCCCCCCCCGCCCCCCAAGCAGGCAATATCCTGGTAGTAGGAAAAGGGGGATATGACAAACACAGAAGCCATGTGACACTTTATAATTTATATCATGGATTTGTTTTGTTTATAGCACTTGTATTGTTCAATCACACTCTACAGCAGTATACTTTAATTGTAATTTAATTTTAAGATCTCTGCCCTTGCAAATGTGTGAAGACACTCTTAATTAGTGGGCCAGTTCATGAAGCTGATGTTCTCTACATGGTGGTCTTTTTAAAAAAATTAAAAGTTTATTGGCATAAACACATGCAGAATACACTAAACTTGAAAATGCTCTGTTAAAACAATGAGAATCCATGTTGATGTTTATATTGATAACCTGCTTTTTCCAACCCTTTGTTTAGTTACTGAGAGCCCCTGTTCTGGGCCCCAACGCACTGGACTGGAGCAGGGTTGCCTGACACAGGCATGTCCATCAAGAAGTGCCTCCATGTGTCTGCTGGTTAGGGACGGGGCAGAACTGGGCTGGTTAGGGATCTGCTGCCATTGTGATGTCAACAAGTCTGATCCATCCCTCCTTCATGGCTCCTGCCCTTCCACTCCAGCCAATATGTGCGGTGGGACTGTGGATGGGACAGTGGCTCCATTGCTCTATTAAGCCCTACTGCCGCAAGTCTGGGTCACTCTCTTATAATTAAAACTATATTATTTGGTACTCATGTTTATTTGGGGGGGGGCAATAAACCCTTTTGGATTGTCCTAACATGGCAAATATCCTCAATGGTCTAATTTTTCATATTAAAAGCAGACAATTGTACATTGCAACCAGCTTTTAAAGAAACAACTTCCTAGCATTCTTCCAGAAAGCTATACTCAAGTCAATCAAATGCTAATAATGTGCTGCTGAGTGTCATGTGACCATAATTAGAATCTGTGACACTTGGAGATCCCATTGATCACTTTCCTTTTTTGCCAAGTTGACAATATGGTACAGCTCTCTGAAAAGGTCTTCATGTTCTCTGTGCTAGTAGTGAATAAAATCGGTGGAGCTCTGCTTCAAATCTGTTCTTGAATTAACATATTGCCAAAATAGCATTAGCTTGGGTAAACTAGCACTCAATGTTACTTTCCACTGCCAGACTACATGGCTGTCTTTGTTTCCCTCCTCTGCATTATATCCATCTACTTAACCTTTCCTCATGTCGTTAATTAGGGCAAATCTCTGGTCATAAACAGTTGTGTTTCATGCTTTGGTCTAAGGTTGTTAGAGGGAATTCACAGTAAAAATTAGTAGTCTAGTATACTCGAAGATCCAACTTCAAACTAGGCTTTTCTCGTTTATTAAATTTACATGGGATACACAGCAATGATCCATGTTGACCAATACTCTTCCATACTTTTCTAGTCTTCTCTCTTTTGACTGGTATTCTTGCCACACCCAGACTCCAGACAGCTCTTCTTATGCCCTGCAGGTGAATGGCCATGTGGAACTTAGCAAGAAACTATGAAGGATATGAGTAAGTTATGCACAGCTTTCTCTTGTATGTGAAGCTACATGTAGCAAATAATTGGTGCCCTGGAGGCATTTTGTTCTTGCATGGAGATTTGGAATTCCTTGTCTCCTCTGTAGGTGTTTTTGAGAGCAATTACATTTTGTGACATAACACCTTGCTTGCAGCATTTAAGCAAATAGTTTTAATGGAATGCTCAGGATGTAGTTTATTGATGATGATGGAAATTATTAAACCTGGATCTAACATTTGCCTGAAACTTTGCTTGAAGGGAGACCACCATGAAAGAGGAATGGATCATTGCAGGCTATCCTAGCTCTAAGTGTCTTTCCAAAACCAGTAGTTATAGTTTGGTGACTTTAAAAAGGTAATTCATTTTTCGTTTTACAGAAGCAACACATGTCAAGAAATAACTTAAATATTATAAACAAAGTACAACCAATAATGCTAAAATAAAAGTATACATGATAGAACGTATTAAAATATGGAAAATATGCTTGCAGGCTTCCCATTGTCATCTTATTCGCCACTGGGAACAGAATTCCGGACTAGTTGGGCCTTTGGCATGACAGGCTCTGTTTATGTTTATGCTATTAAAAATATAAGGGGGGGGGAGATTCTGGTCTGGATGCATTTTTCTTAAACCTAATTTCCTGCATTCAAACCTTCTTCCATACTAGGTTCATGTTGAATATTTTGGTCACACATTTGATTTTAACTATAATTCTGTACATAGTCATGAGAGCTTCTACTTTGTCCTTCATAGCAGTGGCATACACGTAGCTGAGTACAGGACCATGGCCTGTTTTTCTGATATCTGTGAACTGACATTCCCTTAACACAGACTTTTGGGTGGTTAAAGTGACTTTTGTAAACGACAATATGGATTTAATCAGTCTGTTTATTGAAATACAAGTATTTGTAACATGTGCCGCATAATATATACATTAACTGGAAATGAACATGGGATAAATTCCTTAACTCTTTTCAACAGTTGTAAGCCAGTGGGCAGTATATACAATTCGCAACCTCACGGAACAGAATGAAAGAAACCAAGAACTCATTGCACGAATGGAGCAGCAGGGACTGGCTGACAATTCTGTCCTGGAGAACATGGGATTGAAAGTTGAGAAACGAGATCAGAAGTTGATTTTGAGATCCAGTGGAAAGACACCACATCTATAAGCAACTGCAGTGTGAATGGTTTTCATCTGTTTTGCTGTGGATACGATACCAATGTAGTATAAAATAGACTCTCAACCAGATTCTTGGCATTATTTCTTACCAAAATCAAAGGTCAATTTTAAACCTTCCTAGAATGAATAAAATGTTAGTACCAAATAAACTGCAAATCCCAAATTATGGATACCTGGCTGATAATTTTTTCACTCTTTTGTTCCATTAATTAAAAATATAATGTATCTACCAAACTAATTCACAGCTGCTAGATGTCTGGAGGCGGTTGGAGGATGGATGGCGGCTAACAGATTGAGGTTGCATCCAGACATGACAGAAGTACTTGGGGGACATGGTGTGGGTGGGTATGGGGGACTCCCTGCTCATAGCTGTCCATGGAGGTGCAGGTCAATTCTGTGTCCAGGGCAGCTGTTTACCAGCTCCACCTGGTACGCAGCCTGAGACCCTACCTGCCTGCAGACTTTCTCCCCAGAGTGGAACATGCTCTGGTTATCTCCCACTTGGACTACTGCAATGTGCTCTACATGGGTCTACTTTTGAAGGTAGCCTGGAAACTGCAGTTAGGTAATCCAGAATGCAGCAGCTAGACTGGTGACTGGGAGTTGCCACCAAGACCATATAACACCAGTCCTAAAGGATCTTCACTGTCTCCCAGTATGTTTCCGAGCACAATTCAAAGTGTTGGTACTGACCTATAAAGCCCTAAACAGTCTCAGTCCAGTGTACCTGAAGGAGCGTCTCCACCTCCAACATTCAGCCCAGACACTGAGGTCCACTTCCAAGGGTCTTCTGGTGAGAAGTGAAGTTACAAGGAACCAGGCAGAGGGCCTTCTCGGCAGTGTGGCGTCCTCCCTGTGAAACACCCTCCCATCAGATGCCAAGGAGATGAACTACACAACTCTTAGAAGACATCTGAAGGCAGGCTTGTATCAGGAAGTTTTTAAAGTTTGACATCCCCCCCCCTCCCTATATTTTGCTAGAAGCCACCCAGAGTGTCTGGGGAAATCCAGCCAGATGGGTGGGGTATAAACAATATTATTAGTATTCGTATTATTTGTATTAGTATTTTCACCTAAAGCTGCAAAAAAGGAAGCTTACCTCCAAGTGTATGAAAAGGTGGGAGATGAATATGTCTGCCTGCAATAATGCATTTTTTCCCTTGTGTAAACACAACATATCAGACTCTTAATCACTCATGAATTTTCTGTCCTCACTTTCGGTGAACATGAGAAGCCATCTTCTGAGGAATTACTGAAATATGCCCTCATACATTGCAACCATTAGAATTGTTTGTCACTCTTTGTTATTTATTACAAATATCAGTTTATCATCACTGCAAAAAACTGATACACTACTTACACATCAGAGTTCTTCTGCAATTTACCATTTGCAAAGTGAATTAAAAAATGCAGAAGCTGCTGCTGCAGCAGGTGTTAGTTTCAACTGTCACAGGGCTTGTCTCTGTTTCTAGAGAACTGGATGTTTGTTTGAATTTTATTTGTTCCCTTGGTAAGTCAGCCCACTTACCCTTTTATTATTATTTTGCTTCTCATGAGCTTTTTCTAAACTCTGGAAGACTTAAGAGGTAGTTTCTCACTGTGATTAATTCTAGCAATTTCTTTTCACCCCGTGCCTTCCCTAAACATTGACAAAACTCATTTCCAGTTAATTAATTCAAGAGAGGCTGAAGAATGGAAAGCTCTGCCTTTCTATTTTGGATACCATTCTGTATTGTTGTTGAACTCTGCCACTGTGGAATGTGGCATGAATGAGATGGGTGGGAGAGAGACAGTGGTCAATTAACTCCCTGTGCCCCAAATTCATTTTCTCAGGTAAAAACAAAAACCAGAACAAATTAATTCTTAATATTTTTAATATGCTTCCTTCAGTTTCCAAACTTTGGGCTGTGTTCCAAAAATGTGTATTATTTTAAGATAAGCTACTGCAGCTTCCCTCAGATAATAACGTGGTTTGCCTTAAGTTGGAATAATCAAACACATGTTATTAACACTGACCGTCTTCTCTCTCACGCATACCCACCCCAATAAAGCAGAAAAGGAATGTGATTTAATGAATACACAAGCAATATATTCCCTTTTTTTAATGGAACACATGGGAGAGAACAGAAGGAAGTTCAGCTAAGTATTTGGCATAGATGAAATATTTCCATAAGAAGACCAGGGATGCTTTCATATGCCCTGTAAGTTGAATCACACAATTCCAGTGGTGATTTCCCCCCATGATCAGCAGCACAGCTTCATGGCAGCAGTAACATCCAACTAGGCACAAATATGTTGACAGGCACTTCTTTCAAGTGATGTGAGCATGATGGGTAAAAACAATCTGCCATGCATTTAACATTTCAATTGTGCTTAAACAAAAAACATAATTCCAATGAGAAATTGGACTACTTTTGTATAAACTACTTCCATTTCATTGGGGTATCTCTGCAGGTAATCCATACTTTTGTTGTGGTTGTCATGGGAAATAAAAGTACAGCTGTAAGAGAATAAAATCTCAAATTATGCATAAGAACTCGTGCTCTGGTAAAATAAAATTGTTCATAACTATTCTTTAATGTTTCTTTTCACCCCTTTCAATATTTATTTTAGTTTTAGTGGAGAATGTGAAAAAAGACATTATTACAGATTCAACTGGAATTTTGAAACTTCAGCATTGTAATCTTATGTGTACCTGAGGCTATAATTGTGTTGAGACTTACTTCTAAGTAGACATGCAAAGTGTTGCACTGTACATATTTGCAACTGATAGTTAATATTTAAAGCATGTTTCTGGAAAATGGTGCTGGAAGGAAAATGCAGTTCAGAATGACAGTAAAAATTCTGTGCAACAAGTATACCCAGATGGCATGCAATGTTTTTAAAAATGGGGTTCTGCTTTTCCTCCTTTGTGTCAGTGGCTGCAATTGAAGAGTGTCGACTTGTGGGCTCTGCACATGCCCATGGAATCAGGAAGCACAGAACTGTAGTTGGGAGGAACCCCGAGAATTATCTAGTCCATAAATAAGAGGCTAGGGAGAACAAAGGGATAGAGAAGCATTTTCTCCTTTGTTTGTTTGTTGAAAATATGTAGTGGGTAAAATTTCAGTTCTAAGTAGAAAATGCAAGACTTTTACAGTGGAAAACATGCTGATTACTGTATTGAGGTTGATCAGCTCTTGATTTTCCAGGATGGATTAATTCTTTTGAGCACAACAGCTTCCCTGTCCTCCTTCCGTGGTCTTGTGTTTTCTGAGGGGTGTGCTTTGCAGGCTTGAGGATTAATGTAGGGCATCAACTAATGTTAGGAAAATGCCTTAACAAGATTGAAAGGAAAGAGAGTAGTCAGATCAAGGCTTGTGGCAATCTTGCTAAACAAAAGAGATCAGTTTTCTCCCCCTTTTCTTTAAAAGCAAGTGAGGATTTGGGTTTTCATGATAATGGGTAACTGAATCCTAGCAGAAAGTGTGTGCTATCTTTTACAAAAATCAGATAGAAAGGTATGAATCCATTATTTAATTGAATTGTACACTGTGCCTTTTGGTAACTGTTGACTTGCTGTGGGCTTTTTAAAAATGCCATTATAAAGAAATATTTCTAAATTATTTCCCTTCACTAACAATTATTCTTTAAAAGCAAAATCAGTCTGAAGCTGACTGAAAACTGGTTTTGTTTTGTTTTGAAATATGTTAAATATTCCTTAAAATGCTTCTAATTTTGTCATTCTGGCATGGTAGGTTCCACAATATAAATGCAACTTACATGAAATTCAATATTTGGATCAAAGTGGAAGATTGTAAATTCAGAATTTCATGAAGCACAATAAATGCAAAACATCTTGGGGCAAAATAAGATGAACAGTCTCTGCAGTGCTGTCCAAGGTTCTGATAAAATGCTTCTCTGAAGAGTATTTTTGTCCTTGAAAGGCTTAAAATATTAGAAAATATTTGGGGAAAACAATGGAGGTTTTTTGTTTGCTTTTTTGCAGTTTCTTTACATTATGACACAATAGTATTGCATATCTGTTTTGGTCAGCACTTTATTGGCATTACCTGTAGAAATTTCTATCAGACAATCAATTTATGAAAGCTTTCTTTGGGTGGCTGTGGCTTTAATTAAAATTGCTTATACAGAAGGATAAGTTCCTCTTTCCTCCACATTAAATTTAAAAGTAAAAAGAACTTTTGCCCCCCCCCCAAGGTATGAACTTTTAAAAAGTCAAACTCACTTTAGAATGCTGACATGATCTTCAGGGTTTTTCTTTATACTGAGAGTCCAACATTTGTATTGAACTTTTCCACGGATCTTTAGGAACTCTTATCAAAACAAGGTAAAACAACATTTTCAAGTTTACTGACATGCAATATCAGGCAAACGATAATTAAAGAGGAAATGAAAACAAACACACATTTCCCCCATGCTTACTTCTCCTTCCTCTGTTTCTCCTCTGCGAATTTCACGCTGCAAGTTCTTAGGAGCAAGGAGCTGTGCTCTTGTACTCTGCAGCACTAGGCACATAGATGACACTGCGTATTTATTATCTCAGTTTCAACTGTGAGCCCAAAGGGACTTTTCAACGCGACAGCAAAAATGCATATCAATACATCAGTATGCTAACAGTCTAATGCTAATTCATTTCAAAGCATAATGCAACAATCCAAATAGTTTATTTTGATAATTGTGTATTTTAACATTTTTAATTCATTATAAAACAAACGGAATCAAATGCTATATCAGAGTCCTAGGACAAGGTTGGGTGGTGGTGCAATCATCAATAATATGTCACCTTGATACTTGAGAGTCTATGGAAACATATATAAATTTGCCTGATGGCATAGGGCAAGTTCTTTTTACCTTTTTATTTTATTGCCAAATATATTACAGACCAGTTCTCTCCATGTTTTTCCACAAACAACAAAAGATATCCTGTGCTCTTAAGCTACAAACATGCATAGAGTTATTTAACCATGAAATCTAGATCATTTCGGTTAAAAAAGTAAACACATTTGTTCTCTCCATGAAACCCACCCCCATCTGTTCTGGGGGTTCCCAACACTTCAGAGCATATTCAGAGAGCCTGGGGGCACACAGGTAGGGGAGAGGGGGGGAAGTCCTGCAAATGTTGGATACAAGCCTGTGGGTGGGGAAGTTTAAGTTTTACTCAGAGTAGACCTAGTAAAATGAATGGATCCAACTTAGTTGTGTTTTTTAATTTCAGTGGGTTGATTCTGAGCAAAATTAGCTGAATAGCACCACTGACTCTTAATTCCATATTGGACCAACATGAAACTGCTGCCAAATATTCTAATATTTTGTTTTCTGCTCTGCAGCAGATAAAGGACAGCAAAGCTACTTCCATTATTATGAACACTAAATTGGTGTACTAAATGAATCATACCAAAGTGGAGTTGGACAACTGTGGCAAAACGTCCTTTTCAGGAGTAGTAATTAGTGTATCAGCCTAACCTGAGGTTACCCCCTCACCATCACAATAAATCTGATCCTTCCACTGAATTAATTAATAAACACTGTTAGTACTAACAGACATTAGCCTCCTAAAGCTAAGCATTCTTAGGTCTCCTTGATTTCAGTGGCCAAGGCTTAAGCAAATACTTAACTTCCCATTGGTATCACAAGAATCTGACAAAGCTTGCCTTAGGCTAGATTCCACTCAACTTTTGTGTGGGTCTCTGCCTGATACATATTTGTTGCAAATGTGTATCCTTTCACTCTAGAGTAGACTTCATGCAGCAGTCCGTGGGTTAAAACTCGTATTTTGACACAAGAACAAGCTCTCATTTAGACATTTTCTCTCTCCCTCCGCCCCCTGTTTGGGATCTTAGGCTTTCTAGTTCAGCTTTTGTGGAGGCTGCAAAACAGGTGCTCGCTCTACAGAGAACCTTATTCTGTAGTTTCGACTGGAGCTAGTGGCCTTCTGAACTCCCCTTTGCTACCTCCTTCCCCCTCAATAATTTTTTATGAATGATAGCTTTTCAACACCCTGGGAAAAGCTTGTTGGGAAAAGCAGCTCTTCACAGGGTGCAGTCAAATCCTACACATTTCATCAAGGGGATCTTATGAAAGGAGTAATACTGTGTGCTTACAGGTATGACGTATTCTTGGGGCCCATCGCCTCCCCCCCCTTCTTCTTTTATGAACACTTCTAAATATGTTCCTTTTTATTATTATTAATTCCAATCGGCTGGCTAGTTCTTTCTGTCTCTGCATGTGCTTCTCAATTAAAGTCTTGTTTGTTTAAAAACTTGAGGCTTGTTTAGCAGATCCCCTGGGGAGACTGCAGGAATAGGTGACAAAATAGAAACCCCAGAATCCAGAGGGTTGCATTGACAAGTCTGTTCTTTGGTTAGCAAAGGGCAGTGACACCTCTGAGAGGAAGTCTGGAATGCTTTGACAAGCCCTGAGCTCTCCTGGTTACTGGTCCCAGCCTGTCTTTTCTCTCTCTCTTTGCTGGAGTGGACATGTGCATTCTTTGTCTCTTTTGCCTTGTCCTTAAAAAGAAAAAAGTTGCATCTTAGAACCTTCTTGAATTCCGTGTAGCAGAAAAAAGACCCAACCCACCATGAAGTGCTGTGGGGGCATTTTGCTTCACAAACTGATCCACTCCCCTCACAAAGAAGTCGGACTTTGTATTAAATATGGTCCCATGAAGCAGTAAGTACTTCAGAATTATGGAACGGAGGCCTTTGGGCCCAAGGTGGAAATTGCACGAAGAAGGGAAATGATGATGATGATTTTATTATATTGAATTTATATACCACCCTTCATCAGAAGATCACTGGGCGGTTTGCATCAAACAACACAAAAATACATACCATAACAACAAACAAAAGCAATAACACTGCCACACACAGTTTAAAAAGCCTGGGAGAAGAGGAATGTTTTTGCCTGGTGCCTAAATATATGTAACAAAGGCACCAGGGGAAATGTTTCAAGAATGTATTTATTTGTTAATTACAATAATTTAAAACAACAATACCAATTACAAATGATTGAAACTAGCAAAACAGTTACTAGCCAGCGTGAAAACTAAGATTTAGAAGGTATTGGGAAATAGAAATGTCTTCACCTGGTGCAGAAAAACACCATAATCTCCATTAGACAAGCCTCTCTGGGGTGAGCATTTTAAAGCCTGGGTGCCACAACTGAAAAGACCCTGTGCCTAGGCAATACCTGGAAGGTGAAACCTAGAGATGGGCCTCTAAGGATTATATTAATACAGGGAAAGGTTCACATGGGAGAAGGTGGTTCTTTAAAGTCGCAAAATGTTTGGGCATGAAAGGTGAGCTAGCAATTTCAGCTGTGCTCAGAAACTTTTTCGAGACACGTGAAATGTGTTCCAGTTGGCCAGGCCCAGTCGGTATCTACTCAGGATCCAGATAAATTGTTTTGTGTGTTGAATCTAGACTCCATTCCTGGCTTACACTTGTAAACATTGATTCTAATCCACTTTAGAATCTGATTCGGAAGACGATTACTTGGAAGTAAGCCCTGTGGAGGCTTTTATGAAAGCACCAAGATTATTAGCAATTAGTTCAAATTATAGCTGCTATCTAAGATACTTTCAATGATCAACCTTTTGGCACAGAGTACACTGAGTCAAACTTGGATTGGTCAAGGAATGGTTCTGGGTTTGTTCAGTTAAGATATGTTCAAAAATTGAGGAGTACAGAGAAACTTATGTAATAGCATAAATACAAACAGCTTGTGTGGCCCCTCCTCTGATGTTTTGACCTCATTGCCTTGGCCTGAATTGTATGTGTTCATGCCTATGTGTACTTTAAAAGCAACTTCCTATTTTGAAAAAGACTACATTAGATATTTTGGAATACCCATGTTTGACTATAAGAAAGGTTAACAAATCTTGTTGCCCAAAACTTTGTTAAGGCGCTTCTGATAATTTTTATATTTTATTCTGTTAAATTTATATCCCACCCTTCCTCCAAAAGGGAGACAACAGCAGCAAACACACAGTGGGTGAAAAAATTAAAACATCTAAAAACAATCTCAGTACAGATGCAAACTGGGAAAGATCTCAACTTAAAAGGCTTGTTGGTAGAGAAAGGTCTTTTGCAAGCAAATAAGCTCCAAACCCCAATAGAGACAATACCTGACTAATATGTATGGTGTAGTGGTAAAAGTGTTTGATGAGGGCCTGGGAAACCAGGGTTCAAATTCCTGGCATGAAACTCACTGAGTGACCTTGGGCAGTCACTGCCTCTCAGCCTAACCTACCTCGCAGAAGCAGTGTGAGGAGTAATTAGGGAGGAATAGAACCACGCATGTCACCTTGAGTTCCTTTGAGGAAAAGTGATATATAAATGCAGTAAATAAATAAATAAATAAATATCCAAGGGGGGAGGGCCAGATTCCAAAGGGTAGTTGCCACAGTTCTAAAGGTCTGATTCCTATATTGTGCAGAATGCACCTCCTGATTAAGATGGTATCTGCCAGAGGCTCTCACCTAAAGATTATTGTGGCTCATTAAGAATATTTTAAAAATATTTTATGGTGAATAGATCTCTAATACAAGATGTTTTTGTTCTGTTTTTAATACCCTGAAGACAATGGGAATACAAATAACACCTTAAAATATTTGGATGCGCCACAGTATCTGATCTGTGATTGGCATTGATCTGGGGCACATTAAAAAATAGCTTTAGACCTTTTTAATGGCCATGCTGCTGAAATTCCAGGTTGTCACTGCTCAGACAGTTCAACAATGAGTTAGGCTCAGGACTTGTACAAAAATCCCTGCTGCTATCTAACCAGCAGCAATCTGCTGTGGTTCACCTTTCTTCTCCTTCGCTGAATCGGTTTACTGTGTTAGGCTGTAGGAACAGAGCCAATAACAAGCTGTAATGGTCCAACTTTGTTTGCTGCACTCATTAAGCTTCTCAGCGACATCTTGACAATATGTCAGATTTTGTACTACAAAGACAATGTAATTTAACATTGATTGTAAGAGCTTTCAATACATTACAAGGCATTTTGCTGCCTATATTCTGCCCTATTTTCCTAATGCTGCAGACTTTGTTGCCAAAATCATCAATCTTTTTTTAAAAGGTGATAGAACAGACTGCAGAAATTGTCGAGGCATCTCTTTATTATTAGCTGCAGCCAGCAAAATTCTTGCAAGGATCTTAGCAAACTGTTTCCTAACTATATCCGAGGCTACCCTTCCTGAATCCCAAAATAGTTTTTGACCTTCTAGGGTGAAAGTGGATATAATTTTCACTGCTCAACAGCTTCAAGAAAAATGCAGAGAGCAAAACCAACCTCTTTATATGGCATTTATTGACCTGACCAAGGCTTTCAAAACTGTAAATTGCACTGCTTTGTGGACTGTCCTTCTGAAAATTGGCTGCCCAGATAAATTTGTGAACATCCTTTGGCTCCCCCACGATAATATGGCAGTAACAATCGCGGATAACAATGGCTCTCAAAGTGAACCATTCACAGTGGGATCAGGCATTAAACAGGGTTGTGTTATCACACCAACTCTATGTATTATCTTCATCGCCATGAGCCTACACATTGTTGAAGGGGAACTCCCCACCAGATTAGAAATCATATATCGAACAGATGGAAAGCTCTTCAGTCTGAGCAGGCTGAAAGCAAAGAGTAATGTTACCGTAACTTCCGTCATAGAGCTTCAGTATGCTGATGACAATGTAGCGTGTGCACACTCAGAGGATGATCTCCAAACCATCCTAAACATCTTTGCAGAAGCTTACAAAAATCTTGGCCTATCACTCAACATCCAAAAAACCAAAGTGCTGTACCAGCAAGTACAAAATAACCCCTCTGCAGTGCCACAAATCCAACTTAAAGGTGTACTGGAAAAAGCAAAGATCACCAGTGTCTAAGCAATGATTCTTCAACATCAACTTCATTTGACTGGTCATGGTGTTTGGATGCCTGATTATCGTCTTCCAAAGCAACTACTCTATTCTCTACTCTATTCTCAAGAATGGAAAGCGAAATACCGGTGGACAACAAAAGAGGTTTAAAGATGCTCTCAAGGCAAATCTCAAAAAAATGTAGTAGAAATATTGATAACTTGGAAACACTGGTCTACAAGTGCTCCATTTGGAAAACAGCCTTTACCAAAGGTGTCATGGACTTTGAAGAAGCACGAACTCAGGGCGAAAAGGAGAAATGAGCTCAGAGGAAGGCACATTTGGCAAACCCTCACCGTGATCAACTCCTGGCCCGAAACCTATGTCCCCACTGTGGAAGGACGTGTGGATCGAGAATTGGCCTCCACTGTCACTTACGGACTCATTGCTAAGACCGTGTTCATGGAAGACAATCTTACTTGGCTATGAGTGATCACCAAAGAAGAAAGAGAAGAAGAGGCAGATGAATTAAATGAAAAAGTGCAAGAGTAGACCTCAGCCCAATTTAAAAGCTTAGCAACTTAAAATCTAGACTGTAAGTTACAAAAAGGTACAAAAAGTCTGCTGAGATCTCCTCTTTCTCCCAGATTTTTTTGATGAGCTTGTGAAGTTGTTGTGTAAGTTCAATTCCACCCACTTTGAAGACTTCGGCAGGTATCCCATCAGCTTCGCTGGCTTTGTTGTTTTTCATTTGGTTAACAGCTGTACACAACTCTCCCAGATTTGGAGATACTGCAAGCTCCCCTCTAATTTGTTTTTGTGGGATTTGTGAGAGGATCTCAGCAGCTATGGGGGAGTTGCAGTTAAGGAGATGCCGGGAATGTTCTTTCCAGAGCAATGCAATAGCTTCTCTATCTTTTACAGTGGTACCTTGGTTCCCAAACTTAATCTGTTCCAGAAGTCCATACCAAAACCAAGGCACGTTTTCCCATAGAAAATAATGCAAAACAGATTAATCCGTTCCAGACTTTCAAAAACAACCCCTAAAACAGCAATTTAAAATGAATTTTACTAACAAGACAATTATCCATAAAATGAAAGGAATAATCAATGTACTGTACTATAAAACAAATAAGACAGTACTGTAGATGATAAAAATTTAACTTAATTTTTTTTCTTACCTGCAATGATGATAGTCATCAGCTTTTGTCCATTTCCACAGTCACACAATCAATCAGTAGCTCAACTGGGTTCCAGTCACAAAAACAAGTCACAAAAATGAAGTTACAAGCCAGAGTCCCATAAAACGAAGAGCAAGCACAGTCACAAAAACAAAAAAGTCACACAAACAAAAACACAAAAATTAGCAAAAACAAAAGCACCAAATATCACATCAGAACACTGCAATGGAAGCTCAGGAGTGCATTTGGTTTCCAAAGCAAAGTTTGCAAACCAGAACACTGACTTCCGGGTTTGCAGTCTTCGATTTCCAAGTTGATCAGGAACTAAGCTGTTTGAAAACCATGGTACCACTGTAGAAGTGTGGCACTAACTATTGAGCATATGCCATGATTTTTGGCCCATTAATGACATGAGTGTTGGCTAAATGCTGGATCTCTTGAGCTTTTTTTCTTTTTCTTTTATCCCCCAGGAGTTCTTTATTTCCCTGGTTCTTCTTTGAACCTGAGCCTTAGTGTTGGAATAGGTTTTTTTCCTTAGTGGCGCAGTTTCTATCTCTGCCAGATCTGAAAGGCCTTCCTTTTCTTGTCGATAATGCCTTCAATCTCACTGTCATTCTCATCAAACCAGTCCTGGTGCTTCTTGGTTTGGTATCCAGTAGTTTGTTCGCAGGCTGCAATAATGGATGTTTCTAGCTTGGTCCAGTGTTCCTCGATGTTATCAGGGAATGCTAAAAGCAGGTGGTCCTTAAGAGTCACTTGGAAGCAATTCTGCTTTATGGGATCTTGAAGGGCTTGAGTGTTCATTCTGCACCTTGGTTTCCTTCCTTGAAACCTGAGTTGAGATATAATATCAATAGCCATCATGTAAGGTATTAATTGGTGATCTGTCCAGCAGTCGTTTACACTCGTCATAGCTCTGCTAAGGAGGACATCATGGCGATGTTTGGCTTGGATTATTCTTGCACTTTTCTTTTAATTCATCTGCACGCTTAAATCAGGATATGCTATTTTCTGTCCTCTCTTTTGTGTTGCATGGGGGACCTGATTCACATACAGTATACTGGATCCAGAAAATAATAGAATCATAGAATTGTAAGCAACCCTGAGGATCATTTAGTCGAACACCCTGCAAGGCAGGAATATGCAGCCATCCCATATGGGGATCAAACTGTGACCTTGATGTTATCCGCACCACACTCTAACCAACTGAGCTATCCAACTGGTACCATAGTAGAGAATGAATGAACAAGGCATTAGTTAAGGATAAAATTGCACTGAGGAACATTAGTTTGGTTCTGAGCAAAGACAACTGAATTCTGTGAAGATTTCTGCTATGATGTCTCACAGTTAATTTGACAGCCATCAAATTGCACCAGGTGGCCAGGATATAAAACGACCATGTCAGAAAGGAAGCCTGAATGGAACACTTCTTTCTGATGTGCAGTTTTCTCACTGACCTCCTTACCTGCCTTATGGAATGGCACAGTCCATCAACAACTGCACTGTATTGCTCTGCTTTTAATGTACTCTGGTGTCCTGAGCACACCCAGTCCCCCAGCCCCAAGGAGGACACGCAATTGGAAGTTTAGTTCTTTGCTGCCAAAGCACTCCATTACATCAGCTCCTGAGGTGCAAGAATCACATGCACCACTCCTGCAAGTTAGCTAGCTGGGCACCTCCTTCTTCAGACTTGTGCTCTGACCCCAGACAGTTGGAGCCAGAGCACGACCACACCCCCTTCAGCATGCTTAAACTCCCTCTGGTGTGGTGCATGCAAGCAACCAGCGACTTTTTCTGTGCAGCATCTCCAGCTGCTCTTCTCACTTTAAGCTCCTCCTTGTCCTTGGAGACAGCGGGAGAGAGGATGGAGGAGATTCTAAAGACTGGACTCTCCCTGGGACTGTCTCTTCCCCGTTTGTGCCTTCCTGCATCTCTTCCTCTGCCTGTTCCCCCATCTCTGACTGCCTGGCCTCTTCCTCTTTCCTCTGCCTCAAGGGTGGTGCAGAACCCCACAAATCACTGGCCCTAGATCATCCTCCTGCCCCCTGCCTCCTCTGCCCCCCCCCGGACTCCTGCCTGTCCCTGACATCTGGCCTTCAGGGTGGGGCTAGCCATGATTACTTCCCAGTGGCATTACATATCCAGTCTCCAAAAATAAATTATTATTTTCAGTCTGGAGGACTGCCTGTCACATGGTTGCTATTGAAAAACATTTTATGACTGCAAAACTTGGTTCCTGGAGAACACATGGCTTTCCTCCGCCAGACGGAAAGTTCCTTCTGGTGGTTACACCAAAGTTGTTTCATACTCCTACGGACACCACAAGTTTTTGGGTATGGGAGAAGATGATGGAACCCAGATTGGAGGAGCGAAAGGGATGCTTCAGAGAGTTTGGACATGTTGGGGGTATTTTTTGGGTGTTTTGTGTCCCTGAATTTCAATGAATGTCTTTAAGACTCAAGACATGTTTCCAATAAAGTGGTTTGGGTATTCTTTTGTTTTTGTTCCACATGTTTGTGTTGTTTAGTTTGTCTTTGTTTATGCTGAAGCTAAGTTAGGGTGACCAGATATTTTTCTTTTCAAAATGCCTTCTGCAATTTCCCTCATGACATTGTGGGGAATGCCAGAAGGCTTTACCAGCTGGAAATGTAGGTCATGCTGGGGACAGGAGTTTCTCAAGGGCGTAGGCAAGTCTGGGTAAAGAGGAGGAGGAGGATGTGGAACCTGCTGTGGAGGCCAGGTTGGAGATGCTGGTTGGTTCACTTTCTGACCTTCCCTTGGCCTTTCTTTGGTCTGCCAGACACTGCATTTATTACTTAATTTTGCACATTTACCTTTCTGTTTAAGTCCATGCAAAACAGCAGCAGCAGCAGCAGCAGTAGCAGCAGCAATACATGCCGGTTCTGAATCTATCATGGATGTGGCAGTTTACATACCAAGTCTACAGGAATTCCTAAATGCACTTTCCACATTCATCTGCCATATTGCAAGGGCCTCCCAGAGGCCTGGTGGTGTGGTTACAATCCACACGACCCAGCATTCCCACACTGGAGGAGCATTTCAACATGAAGCCCAAAGCACAGGGCTGCAAATTTCAGTGGCAGCCTTGAAGAAGATAGCTTGTCCACCCAAACAGGGCCAAAGAGCAAATTGCCTGCTGCTACCAAGTGAAAACAGAGGAGAAATAGAAGTTCAAACCCAAGTTTCCCATCTCCAAAACCAACATCAGGCTGCCTCTGCTCAGCTGTGAAGCTCATGGGATGGCACTGGGCACATTCCTGTCTGTGTACCTGACACCAGTGTGGCGTAATGGTTTGACTGTGACATGGGAGACCAGGATTCAAATCCCCACTGAGCCATGAAACTCAGCTTGGGCCAGCCACCATCTCTTCGCCTAACCTACCTCACAGGGTTGTTGTGAGGATGAAATGGGGAGGAGAAGAATCATGTATACTACCTTGAGCTCCCCGGAAGAAAAAGGTGGTATGTAAATGTAACAACAACAACAACAACAACTGAATGGTGAAGAGGTATTTCAAACAGAAGATTGGGTTGAGAGTATTGTGTTAGCAATTATTTTAAGTTGGCATAACAGTTCTATTGAAATGAATAGCTAACTTCCCATTGACAAAAATGTAACTAGCTTGCTCTGGCCCCAACTTATTGTTATTTCCCTGGCAAATTGCCATATTGTGGCTAGAGTTTCTATCCCCCGTTTGCTGCCTGCTATTCTAGGATTGGTTTTGTTTGTTTGTTTGTTTACATAGAGGAACATTTTAAAAATAATGATTCCCCTACTTGCAATCTGAAGTGGTAACAATCCATTCTACACACATGGGGCCATCTAATTTCCATCTCCTTCTGCTGTTGGAAACTGGAGGTGAGAGCTAACACCTGTGGCAGTTAACAATATGCTATTTGGACACAGTGGATGGTGTTCAGCTAAGTTTTGCTTAGACTAGAGTCATCAAAATTTGTGGACCTAACTTAGGCTACTATAAGTAAGGCACCGCCCTTTCTGTCCCACATCAAGCAATTTTTAAGTTCCATTTATTATTATCATGAAATATTTTCATGAAGTTCTTAATCACTGAAATCAAACCAATAAGACTTAAGAATACTTAGCTTTCACTGGGTGATGCCCATAGTTTACTATGGTAGCCTCTAACTATAAAGATACTCATGCGATAGTTTGTAAAAGATATACAACACATTGCTTCATCCTAAGCCTTTGTATTGTTCACCCAAGAGGCAATACGTTTTCATCTGGGAAACTACAAATAATGAAAGTTATAACTCCAACCGATGCATGGGGGCAGAAAATGTGACAAATCTCAGCCCATTGTACAGTGGGTATCTCAGGATAAACTACATCACATCTTTGGCATGGCAAACACCACAATTACACAGGAATTTGCTGTTATCTTCCATCCAGGTATGCAGAGGGCATAGATTGAAATCTAAGCTCTGCAAAAAGCCTGTCTGAATGGGGGGAAATGTAAGTTCCTTAAATATTGGGGTCTATTGTTCTCCTTTTAAAGCAAGCCATACCATCTGGAGAAATGTGTAGCTTTAATGAAGTTCATAGAATTATAGAATTGCATAGTTGGAAGGAATCCAGAGGGATCCAAAGGTCATCTAGTCCACCCACTGCAATGCAGAAATCATAGATTTATATCTATGATTTACTGCATAGAGGGGATGGGGTGGGGGTTGCCCTAGGGCTCAATGGAGCCTTCTGCTGCCTTTCTGCTTCCTTGGTCGGCCAACAGAAGAAGCAGGAAAGCAATGGCTGAAGACGGAGATGGAAGGAAAGAGTTAGACTGAATCATGTTTGTTTGTGTGTTTAAAAATCTCACTTGTAAAAGCACTTTGCCCTCGCAAACGAGTGTACAAGACTTTAAAACATGAAAATACAATGACAAAACACCTGCACACAAAAGCCAAGCAGCAAGTGAATTTTTTTCCAAATACAGCACAATTCAGCCAAATGTAGACTCACATAAACATGTATTACGAGGGTTTTTTAAGCACCTTGTGCTAATCATTTCCTATATACTCAGTCAGGGGTGCCAACTTGAATTAAATATTGGGGGGACCCTGGTAAGCCCCACCCCACATAATTGTTCACATGACGCAATGCACACACAACATTAGAAGGGCAATGTCCACCAACTTTTTGGGGGGTAGCCCCTTTTAATATTTTATTGGCGGGGCTGAGGGCCCCTTGGCCCCTGAGAGTTGGCTCCTACGTGCACTGTAGTGCCCACTTGGATCCGGACCAGAACACAGATTGTGCCCCAGTGGCATAGGATGGGTTGCCAGCGTCTAGGGCGGCATGGAGGGGGTGGGTTTGGAGGGAGGGAAATGGACAGAGTACGCATACTACCCCCCCCCAAAAAACCCCTCACAACAATATGTATGGTTAAACCCAATAGTTAAGAAATTATGGACCATAGGAACATGCAACTTTGGCCACATCATGCAGCAATTGACATTTTTCTCCCTCAGGAGAAATGCTGAGAGGAGTGTCATCTTTTAGGAGCCCAGCCAGTGCGCCTCAGAGTTATCATTTTTATCATTTGAGGCTGCTGGTTCGTTTCTCCAGATGTGCCATCTGGCACATTAAGCAATTCTTTTCTTAGAAAAAGAACCTATGGTTTTGCCATGTAATGCAAAACACCAATGGAATCACTACACAAGCAAAATACCAGTAATGGTATAGCGGTTCAGCCACAAACGATGGCATGCTAATTTGTTTGATTTTTTCCCAGTGTGTCATCTGTAGTACTAGATTTTCTACCCAGGTTGTGGAGTTCATCATTTGGCAACAAATCTTAAAAGTACACTTTCCTACTTTTTGCGTTACAGCTAAGGATATTGATAATGATGTGCTAATGATTCAGTTTCAG